ACATTCGTTTGCGGAGGCTGCGGTGATACATCAACAATGAGGAAGTAGAGTTTGGCAAGCGAAACGTGACACCACCTATTTTTCCGTTTTCATATGGCAACAACATAGAACTGTCAGTTTGACACTACGTTAGACAATTCAAGAATATTGAATTTTGTTGTTTTTGCGAATTTGAACTTGTGTTTTTGGTTAAAAATTATGTCGAAGCCGATAAAAAGTTCATCGAGGAAACTTCTTTCCATCATGATTGACAAGTTTACTGAAGTGAAAACTGAATTAAATAAAAATTTCATGGAGAAATTACAACGATTAGATAAAGTTGTATCTTTTTTAGGTTAGTTTTGTATTATAATTTTGATACTTTCGTTTTAATTTTCTGTAATTAACTAAACAGATATTTTTTATAAAATATTGCTCTATTTCAGATAACTGTGATGGTGATATTCAACCAATAATGGAGGAGATAAATGCAATAAAAACTTTAGAAAAACAAGAAATGCTGAATTCGGAAACGCAGTACTTACAAAAAATTTCTTCAATGACAGGTCTCTTTTCTTGTTTTGATTTAAGATAGATTGATAGTATTCCTATAATATTTACATAGGTTTTTTATGATGTATTGGTTTTTATTGTTGACATCCAATGATGTCATAAGAATGTTTTGTTTAACAAGGAAATTCACAGAATTCATGAAACTAATCAAACCATGTAATTGTTATACATGCTAAATATGCACATAAACTTAACTAAATTAAACATAAATTGCATTCATAGTTGAATAGGTATTTAAATTATTTTGATGTATGTGTCTATCATTATTTGCTTTTAAATACATTTAACATATCTTTGTTTCAAAGTGTTTAATCTTTTATAGATGTAAGTATAAGGACACTAAGAAGGATAAAAAATGAAGCATTAATTAATAAAGGAAAATGGGACACTCCTGGGAAAAAACGACCTCATCAACCAACAGTGTCTGCTTTAGATAATTTTGATTTAAGTGCAATTCGGAATAAAGTAAATGAATTTTACTGTGTGAAAAAAATTGTTCCAACATTAAGAAGCCTTCACAATGAATTAAAAGATGCAATAGGATTCAGTGGTAGCCGTGAGACTTTACGAAAAATTATGCTTAAGAATGGATTTTCTTTTAAAAGCAATGAAAATGAACGTTCTATGCTTATAGAAAAATACCAGATTTCTGCATGGAGGCACAAGTATTTGAGAGAAATAAATATAAAACGAAACGAAGGAAAGCAAATTGTGTACCTTGATGAAACTTATGTACATCAGAATTATAAAGTTAAAAAGTCTTGGCAAGGACCTTCAACAACTGGTGTCACTACAAAGATATCCTCTGGAAAACGGCATATTGTTGTGCATGCTGGATCTGAGGAAGGTTTTGTGCCTGGTGCATTATTAGTGTTCAGTAGTAAATCCAAATCTGCTGATTATCATGATGATATGAACTCATCGAACTTTATGAAATGGGTCAGAGAAAAATTAATACCAAATTTAAGTAAGCCCAGTGTAATTGTTATGGATAATGCCAGCTACCATATAAAACAAATCAATAAACCGCCTATAATGTCTAATACCAAAGCAGATATCCGTAAATGGCTTGTAAATAATGGAATACATTTTGAGGAATATCAGACAAAGGCAGAGTTAATGTGTTTGGTTAATGATAAGAAAACATTGCCTGTATATGAAGCTGAAGAGATTTTAAAAGAACATAATCATGAACTTTTATTGCTGCCACCGTATCATTGTGACTTAAACCCAATAGAGATGGTTTGGAGTCAAGCAAAAAGAAAAATTGCAAGCAGAAACATTGGAATACCAGGAAAGGAAATGGAAAACTTAATAATAGAGTGTTTTAACTTAATTACCCCTAGTGACTGGAAGAAATACACTGATCATGTTTTAAATGTCGAAAATGATTACAAATTAAAAGATGGCATTGTTGAAAACGAACTTGAAAAATTTATTATATCTGTTGGTGCAGACAGTAGTGAAGAGAGTGACTCTGATGATTCCTTGTCATTGTTATCAGGTGTAGAATATTTAGAAACAGATTTTGACTATGAATCAGACTAAAGTATTTTTAGTCTGATTCATAGTCAAAATCTTATCTTAAATTTTCTATTGTGATTAACATGATGATTTTGTGACACCTGTATTATGTAATTTATCCATGGCACTTAATTGTAACAAAAATAAATGTTTTTTTTATTGTAATCTGGTGTTTATATTGACTAATTTAATTTGATAGATAGTGGTTCTGGATCAGAGCAAAAGGTTGTGATGAAAATCCCTTAGGAGACATGTATGTGTTATGAACACATTATAAATATAAGGGCCAGAAATCAAAATTGGCTAACATCACATTTATTAAAAAAATGTGGCCAGAGTCGCCCATATTCATTACAAAAAAACAAAGAAGTCGTTGCAAAAAACACCCTTTTAATTAATGACAAATATGAATTTTTAATATTATAAGTGCTGTTAGCCAATAGGTATAACGAATGGGTTAAAAAAAAGATTCGATTTAGTCCGTCAGTCAGATAATAGAAAAATATTGGATACGTATTTTTTTTCGCTTTAATTTAACAACAAATGGCTTAAGAGGTACTATGCGACGACTTCAAATATGCTTTGCAACAAACATTGTTGCAAAGCATATTTGAAGTCGTAAACTGTATTAAACTGTATTAAAGTAACAACTTTAATACAGTTTATCGATACGAAATCAAGTGTCAAAATGGAGTCCAGTGGAGAATGCCGATATTGACATTTCGAAATTGCTCATCATTGATAGAGAATACGAAATAGTGATTTTGACACAATCAAAGTGTCTATTTTTTACGGTGATGACGATTCTTGGTTGTCAGTTGAGTTAGTGAATAGGCCTACTGATATGCTGTTAACTGTACAATTAAGAACAGTCACGCTTTAGTCAAATGTTCCAAAACAAATAATTTTAATTGATATCTAAATGTTAAGATTAAATATAATTAATAAAAGTATCAAAATTATTTTGCAGTACTACATTCAGTGTTTACTGCTTAAGAATTTTTGAAATTGCCGCCCTTTTCTTGTGACACGTTTCGCTTGCCAGACTCTATTAAAAAAGCATTAGTTCCCGAAATCAAACTAGATGTCGCTACGGTACGTTTGCACGTTGCTTAAATCATCTTAATAAAATTTCAGCAATCAACAAAAAACGTCCATTCGAAACGAACAGCAAGCTTATATCAATCACAGACACGTACAGTTATTATCGCTGCTTATATACAAAGACACGTACAGTAAATATGCTATTATACTATCGCTACGGACGTCGAGCCAGGTGTTATGTTAATTCGTACGGTGAGTATGTGCTTTTATCGTTCTTGCAATAATATTGTCAATAATAGATTGACTTCCTACTCAACCTACTCTAAATCAGTTTTATTGAAATATATTACTTATTAAGTACCTGGAGTAGTCATGCTGTCTTAAAAATCTCTGCGGTGGTATTGTGTGCGTCAGGTCGTAACCTTCCCTCAAATATAGATGAGCGAAGCGATGGCTGACTCATGTGTCAAGCTCGTCAACGGGTGCTACCAGTAAGGGTGAGTTTGCACTGGACTACTTAATTTTGTCAATTTTCTTTTAAAATGAAAATTGTATTGATTTGTCAATGAGTATGTAGGATTTCAAATATTATAATGGGAAGTGAGATAGTCTAATTAAATCACATTCCAATAAGACTTCTGAGTTTCTTGCCGGTTCTTCTCAGTACAAAATCTCCCGCCTTAGTTTTGCGAACCGTTGGATAAGTTTTTGACTTTCACAAGTGCTATGTAACAGTGCTAGACTGAATTGATTTTAATATTTACATTAATACAGTTCGACATGTGGATGCACATATGGAAATATGGCATATAAAAAAACAAGCAAAAAACAGAGTTCAGCGCTCCCCTTTTAGTTCTTGATTCTAAACCTGAATTCGGATGTTTCGAAGTTACGAGCAATCAATAAGTTGGCTCATCACTAATTTTGACATATAAACTAGACATCGCTCCTTTACACGTTACATAATAAATAACTTAAACTTACGATTCAAATGAAATAAAATTAATTTGGAAGTTAGATATTATAAGAAACACGAAACGATGTCATATTTATTATTTTTCGGTGCTCAATTTATTTTTATAACGTCAGAAAAAAAATTTGAATGTTTGAATATCATAGACAAGATCCAAACATCGCTAGTTTGATTACAAGAAATAATTTTAATTTTTTAAATACTTCTTCATTTCAAAAATAAATAAAAAATAAGATTTAAAACTTGAGTGATTATTTATTCAATTTCTTTTTCGATTACCCTCCGTATTACATATATTCTTAAAAATAAATAAAGTAAAGAGCTCTATCGCGCTGTAGTTTGCTCGGTCGGCCTGCGATACATTAATTAAGCAACTTTCCCTAGGGCCGGTCATTGGGTGAGTACCAAAAAATTTATTTCAGTTCAACAGGCGTTACGCATTTGACTCTGATCCAGTTATTTTGATTCTAGGTTTATTCACGTTGGGACAGTATTTCGTCAAAATAATATGAGATCAGAATATACTATTGGAATAGTACGAGATTAGAATATTCATTTGCGTAATACTAGCAGATTGTCAAGTTTCAATATTCAATGAGTTTATATTAGAATGAGCGTCTAAAGTGCTATTTGCTTCGAAGTAAAGATCATACAGCGTGGTGCTGCCAAACTGATACCAGCCCAGCAGCGCTACATTATTTTTTCACATTATTTTTTTGGACATGTCCCAGAAAGATAAAAAATAAGGGATTAATAGATGAGCTGGTCAATTTTATAGAACTAATTATACACGAAATTCATGATTTTTAAAAATATCAATCTTAAGTCACACTTCGTTGGCCAGTAGGCATGAAGGTCTACTTAAGAAAATCTTCTGTCTAGCGACTGCTATGGGTACAATTTATGTGAGGATTACAAACAAAACAAATAATATTCGCGACATTATATTTTCATAATAATCAACATGATACAGATGTTATGGCTTCGTATTCAAATATCGTTCTATTATAATAATAAAAATATTAACAAATTATCTTACATCCACTTGAAAATGTACATTGTAATAGATCTTACAAAATATTCTAGAGCATTGCAAGTTGACAGCAAGTGATTCAGCCAATCTACATTTATCATTGACCCACGACGCCACTGCTTCGCTGTCAACTTGCATTAAATCTTTTAACACTTACAAAAGTCTAAAGGCATTAAAATAATTTTACGACTTGTCATCAATATTCGGACGCAAAGAGCTACTTTTAATGTCTACTACAGACATTAATTATGTTGTCAATGTCCTATATTAGTAGCGTGATGAAGCATAGCAAAATTCAAACCTGTTATTCGAAGCACCGACTCCCCATTATTATTATTTGGCTAATAATTATTTGGTGTTGCTACCGTTCTTTTTTGTAGGCGTTAGATATTATTAAAATTTATTGTAGATTATAACAGGCAGGTCTAACCTACCATTTTGCCTAGTTTAATTAATAAAATTATTATACAAGATAATTCTGTTAAATATTTCCATAAAAATACAGATATACACAGTTTTCATTGAAGAAATGATGGATATCTCAAGGTCTCGACTGCGATTGATCGGACTACATTTTGAACTCGCGCAGATTTTAATGTTATGTATTTTTTATTTAATCAAATTAAAAATTACTTGAAACTATGTAGTTTAAATAAATTCAAATGACACAGCATAGTCTAGTTTTGTTGATGCTGAAAAAACATCTATTTCCATTAAAATTTTGAATATGGACATTGTGTTCATCTAAAATAAGTCAAGTATCTACAAAGTTTTCACTGCAAAATAATGATAAAGCTCGCAGCTGCAAAATCTTTTTCAGGCTCTGCCAATTCTTAAGTCTATACAATTTCCAAATTCATTAATTATACACAAATCAATGATGACAGAATATACAATTCATATGACTTGGCATTGGTTAGAAACATTCACAAAAAAAGTAATATTTCAACAGCACTAAGTCGGGTAAAAATCAGACAAACATAGCTACACGGGTTCTTCGCTTCGGCCAAATCATCTAGGGAAGCTGTAATCGCACTATCTCACACGAGCATATGTACACTACGATTTTATCCCCAGTCTTCGCCGGTCACGCGCACTTTATCGTTCTTGAAGCGCTCCATTCTTCGAGGAGTGATGACAAAACGGCGTTGCACTATCGCAACGAGAAAAAGCGGAGGGTGAGAGGAGAACTACGAGACCGTGACACGTGAGACGAACCGCACCAGAGAACGGATGACGATCGCGAGCGAAGCGGGACGGGCGCCGATCTTGGGACACGCGAGCGGTCACGGGCAGGGGGCGTCGCGCGCGGGGCTGGGGGCGCGCGGCTAGAAAATGTCCGGGCACGCTGCCCAGTCCTGGCGCTGCTTGCATTCCCAGTAGCGGTGGTTGTAGAGGTGCCGGAGGCGGGGCGCGCCGGCGGGGGCCGCCTCGCGCGTGAACCAGGCGGGGCGGGGCCCGGGGGGCGCGGGCAGCCCTCGCGCGGCCGCCTGCTCTGCGCCCGCCTCCAACTCGCGGCGGGCGGCGCGCTGCTTCTCCTCGAGCCGGAGCTTCTCCGCGTTGGCCTCGTCCCACAGGCCCTCCTCCATGAGCCGCTGGTCGGGCCGCAGCCGCGAGTCGGTGGGCGCGACGCCGGGCTCGGGCTCGTTCAGCTGCGCGGCGAGCAGCGTGAAGTTGTACCACTTGTCCGAGTCGGGGGGCGCGGGCACCCGCTCCCAGGCGACCGTGAACTTGCCCGTCTTGCACACGGTGTTGTCGGCGGACGCTGACGTCACCGGCGCCACCTCCACGCGACTGTCCCAGTGACCTTGCAACACGTACCGCGGCTGCACATGTACAAATATTTGTTAATTTCACGTGACCGTTAATCTGTTCTGCATCATGTTTCTTTATTCATCGACATACCTATATGACAATGACAATATGTTCAATATTGAATATAGTAATCACTACAAATTATAAAACAAAGTCCCCGCTGCTTCTGTCTGTCTGTCTGTTCGTGATACGTAGATAGAGCAATTCTTGAGGAAGGTTTTGGTGTATCGTAAGTTAAGATTTTGTACAAACTGACGATATTAGTTCAATATGTCAGAAAAATAAAGCAGAGCTTTCCTCGAAAACGCTACCAAAAACTTTAAGAGTTATAACAAAACATTGTATGGTGGAATTGTACCTCTTTAATAGATCTACAAAAAAGTCCGCGGTGGTATATGTCTATATTCCAAGGATAACCCACAATAACCATTTTTTACGTATACTTAAAACAGTAAAATGACGGGTTATTTACGAAACTATTTTTAACAATACAGTATTAATCCTTATTCAAATAAATTAGTTAGATACGTTATTCATGTCATGTAGATCAAAATTGCCATTTACACTATATAAAAAAATTAATAACTTAATGTCAGGGCGAGCTATAAATATCGATGAATAAAAATGAATCGCCGAAACGTATGTACGCGCATAACTTCCGAATTCCAGTTGCGACTGCACCAAATTGGATGATTCTATTTTTTATGTGTTCCACGATTCATGACACGGTTTGTATATAAGATATTTTTAAACGGGTATAAAGCGGTACGAAGTTCTCCGGGTCAGCTAGATTATTTGATAAAAATAAAAACATTTACTCGATATATCGAGTACCTGAGTGATATGTACCAGTCATGGACACTGATATAAGATAGTGACTACTTTTCAACTTTACTTATGTTATATAATTAATACATCATTTCATGGTCTGCTACCTTTCTTCTAAACGATTACAACTTTTAAATTTAAGAAGAACATACATTGTTCAGTGCAATGCAACCGAACAGCGTTGTAAGCATTTATGCTATTTAGGTCATTAGCGACGTCAATAATTCAGTCCAAAATCATACATCAACCGCGACACGCGAATAATAATTGTATCATTATTCTTATCAATATCATTATAAATTCAATTAGTGCATTTTACTTTAAACGGACACAAGTGTTTTATTTATATCATTATCACCAGCACTATCTAAATATATATAACTCAAAGGTGACTGACTGACATAGTGATCTATCAACGCACAGCCCAAACCATTGGACGGATCGGGCTGAAATTTGGCATGCAGATAGATGTTATGACGTAGGCATCCGCTAAGAAAGGATTTTGATCAATTCTACCCCCGAGGGGATAAAATAGGGGATGAAAGTTTGTATGAAACTTTGTCAATTTCAAACCGATTGGGCTGAGACTTTGCTTGCATAAAGCTAGTATGACTTAGGCATCCCCTAAGAAAGGATTTTGATCAACTCTACCCCCAAGAGGATAAAATAGGGGATGAAACTTTGTCAATTTTAAACCGATCGAGTTGAGACTTTGCATGCATAAAGTAACTATGACGTAGGCATCCCCTAAGAAAAGATTTTGATATATTTCACCCCTAAGAGGATAAAATAGGGGATGAAACTTTATTTCAGGTATTTCACACGGTACAATAAATAATTATTCGTTAGTAATGCTGCTCAAAGTAATTTTACCGCGGTTTTTAAGTAAGTCGCGGGCAAAAGCTAGTACCAAATAAAACATTAATCTCATCAGTATACAAACAGTAGAACAATCACTTGACAACTAGTTCTAATTTTCAATACGCACCACGCCCTGTGGATCTTTGATGACGCCGGTAACCTTCCGCTGGGTGTCCTTACTGAAGTACCCGTAGGGCAGGTACTTGAGATGCGCCACGTACCCGGCAGCGGGCCCCGCCTCGCCCACGATCTCCATGTCGCCGTGGTTGTCCACCCACAGCTTACCGACGATTATATTGTGGACCGTCGTCGTTACCTTAATACAAATCAACTTTTATAATAACCATATCAGCATGCCAGACTTTGGAAACCACTTTGTTAAGCCGAATTTATATTACGAAAGTAGTTGCATGAAACTACTTTCAATACTTTATATCGCTACCGGTTGCACGTGTAAACGTCCACTTTAGTTTCACGACGCAAAAGAACTAGAAATTTGATAACCATATGTTTAATGAAATTAACTCGATTGTAAACTAGTGGCAATATCTGAGCATAGTAAAATTTTGATATTGATAGAGAAAGTCTCCAGAGATACTATTGACAGCTCGCTACTACGAAAGTAGTTTCAAATGTGTCGAAATTTGTTACGTGAAACTCGTTTTTAGTTCCATGTAACTAATTTCGTAATGTAAATTTGGCATTAATAATATGATTCGATATCAAAGATCTAATGATACCCATATGAATATTAAGAAGCCATCACATTTTAATTACACAAATGTGACGAGTTAAACTCATATAGTATTTAAACGCGGGACGTCATATGTATTTACTGCGCTTATTCGAATGTTATTTCGCTCGCATACGTTAATTCGATATAACATTTTCTTTAAATGTACATTTTACAGGTACTTCTCCGCAAAAATGAGCTTTTTACATCAAAGCTATGTTCTCAGTAACAAAGAAACTATAGACTACATGGCATAGAAAATATCAACATATTAGTGTAGTTAATTTTAAACTATAACTTTGACTACCTTAACATTATTTACCGAGAAAGTATAAAAGTATAACTGTGCGTTGCATTTCCCTTAATTAAAGAACTAAAAAAAAACAAAACTCGGCTATTTGGTATAGATAAATCGAGTGTAAGGTTTGTTGAATGAACTCGCCTTACTCCAATGGTACTTGTTTTGGCCGTTGAAGACGACAAACACGTCAGAGTTTGGCGTGATGGCGACAGTCTGTCCATGCAAGTAACTGATCACGGAGAAGTGTTGCCAGTGCATCCATCCTTGAGCTCCCTCCGCGTACACCACCGTCGTGGGAGGGTGATGCAACACCTGCACGCTTACCTCACTACCGACCGCTCAACGATACTCACTGACATCTCTCATTGTATACAACGTACAAACTCTTCTTTAAATTTAATTTATAGATCGTCATTCAGGCTGTTATAACATTAATTACGAAATATGTTGGAAATGATATGTATTGTAAACAAATAACTACTTTTTGTTTTAAAACAAATCGTAAGTATATTTTATTTTTGCAAAGTAACATGACTTTTATGATCTGTGGATTACAAGAACCGTAACGCGGGCAGCCATGACGGCGCATCGTGTGATGTTTCAATAAACTAAATGTCAACGTTTTTGTTGCGAATGCAATTAGCATTCATTTCATAACACATATAAATGATTTAATGATCATATCAAAATTTTTAATCATTACTGGTAATGACACTACTATGAATATGTGATGAAACAAACTTTTTGAATTAACCAATAAACTTTGTAATAAAACGAATGCAATATAGATCGTGTCAATTGTATGATAGATAAATATGGGTACCTAATAAAGGGGTGAATATTGAGATTATGACTTATGAGTATTATTAATTGGAAAATATCACTAAAGCGCAGTCATATAATAACTATCATATGGTTTTATCAGTATGTGCTGTTTAAATAAGCTTCTACATTATGTGGCAATCCGGAATAGACTATATTATTAGTGTTATTTCACATAAACAACACTCCATAACTAAGATCGGCTCACATTTAATTTTGATACCAAACATTTTTGTCGTTTTTACAATGAGAAATGTACATTTTTGCATCAATTTGAGCGCAATAATCTGTCTACCTAGCTAGCGTTCCTCCTCCGTGTCTCCTGACTGCTCCTAGACTTGTACTAGTTTATCCGACTTATCTTTAAAGAATATTCTCAACTGACTATATGATGTCGCTTTCTCATTTTTTATTAAATACAAGTTATGGACGTTATTTCTCTGTCCCAAGTCAGTTGAAAGTTAGGTTTTGGTGCGAGTACGCGTTTTAATTTTAAATATAACATTTCAAAAAATATCCCTCAATTAATAAATTTTTCACGATATCGGTACCGATAGTGCATCTAGAATAATAACTTTTTTATTGAAACTAAAAATATGGTTTCACATGGGAAGCGCGCATGGGGTGTGTACCTTCCTCCAGACGTATTTGTTGCCGTTGCCGAAGGAGGCAGAGGCGCCGCCGAGCGGCACGACCTGCAGATATTTGCCGCGGAACTTGGTGGTCATGGTGAACTCCTGCCAGCACTGCCAGCCCGACTGGCCCTCGCAGAACTGCGCCACCATCGGCGGATGGTGCGATACCTGCCCCGATCCAATCAACCAACCAAACATGTCACGCCGAGTGCTTTGATAATTCCGACTCTCTCGTCACCACCGACGCTGTGTTCACGGTTACATTCGTTTCACTACCGATCGATGGCACTGTTTTGATAATTTCACAGATTTGATGAGGACTACATTTTTGTTAACAATATGACATTATGAAAAGTGCGCATAAAAAGTATCCATTCAATTTTATAAAAAACCTCAAAAGTGTTCTTTTGAATTTAACAATTTAAAAGCAGCAGCAGATATTCTATTTGCCACTTAAATTCAACGCTTTCTGCTCTTTTTCAATTAAGAAAAATCATTTTTATAGAAATTACATATGTAGTCATCAATTGTGATTTAATATTTTAATCGATTATTTGTGGCAATCAAAATGTATTTCGTCGAAAATGTCCTATACTAACTATGTTGGATGCTACAAGAGTACGAATTTAATAAAATAATCATCAAACGACATTACTAACATCACCTCTTGATAGTCAAAACGAATGAAAACGTGACGTACTACCCTAAACCCGATACATGTTCGGAGATAATCGAAAATATTAAGTCAAACAGAGACTGTCTGCGATCGCTGACAGCAGACCACAGCCTGCGATTGCATTTTGTCTTTGTTTGAGTCAGATTTTATGGATCATTTACTCTCACATCTATAGTCGAGTAGAGAAGTTATTACTTGAGTTAAAGTAATAACTTAAGCAAATATATTAACAAATAAATAACAATTTGAGTGAAGTAAGTTAGAGTACTATTATTATTGTTAGTTCCTACTTCATTCAAATTCTCGTCTATTGGTTAAAAATTGGTCAAGCTATTTCTTTTGCCCAATTAATTACTTCTACTAGATTACAGATATGAGTGTTAGATTAGTTGATAGAATCCGCATTCGGTGTGTACAGAAAGGGCTCTTTCATTGGCCAATAAAACAATAACAACAAATCAGCAACTAATGAAAATAAAGCATAGAAATTATCCGAACGAAATAAATATGCGGATCCTATTGACAAATATACTCATTTATATTTGTTGCCTTATGCAGATTGCCATAGCAATATGAGAAACGTCTATGGTTACATGCACTGTTAAACGGAAATAAGGATCGAGGCAAGTGTGGAGAGGAGAGGCATTTGATATGTTGACGTTGAGGAGTTGGTTTAACACGATTGTAAAGTTATTTCAGTGTTCGAATTGCAAAGCCCTTTTGAAATGTATTTTTCACCAATATTTTAAGTTATTTTTAATAATATAAGTATTTTAAATTGCACTTGAATCAGTAATAGATAATTTCTAAACTGAATACAGATTCTTATAGGTAACGCAAATAAACAAGGAGGGAGCAGTCAGGAGAAGGAGGCGAGGAAACATTATAACTTAAAAAATAATAAGTACAGTAGGTAGGTGTTTTTAGCTATTAAAAAAAAAACAAAATTATCAATAAATAAATATTACAAATAGAAAACAAAATATCAAGGTCGATATATTTTTACAGTAAGTCCCAACTATCATGACGTTTGTTAAGTCTTTCTTTATGCGGAGTAAATCTGCCAATACAGACTATGGCCGAATGCACAATTAAATTTGATAGCGAGTCTTGTTTCAATAAACATAAGTTGAAAAATACTGGATGACACTAGGGCCCGGTTACACTTCTCCCCCCCTACACACTGCACCTCCTTTGATATCTATTTTCGTTTTCTGCGCACGGTTTACTTTCATACCGAATACTGTACATCGTAGTCATATTAGTTGGATCTTACTGTACTACTGTTCAATTTCTTAGTTACCTATATACCAGATTTTAATTATTGTAGTAATATCGAAAGAAAAAAACTATAAGAAACATTAAAAATTATTTAAAAATACTTTGATAAGTTTCGTTTAATGATGTTGAAAGAAATAAAACAAAACCATTTCACCATCACAAACATTGTAATGGGATTAGTTGTGGTCTTAAACCAGGGGTCTGCAACCTGCAGCTTGCGAGCAGAGTGTCTCTTTCGTTATAAAGTTGCAACTCTCAAGTTCCATTTACAAAAATTATAATTTTACTGTCAAAACCCTTTAAATCATTAAATCAATACATAGTTCAGTTTTGATACTAAATAAAATACGAATTGTGATGACCGACAGATATAAATACAAAATCGTTTATTGTAAATGAAATTTAAAAAATTACATGAACAATATTATTGTAATGAAATCCTTCAGTGTCTCTAAAAACTGTGAAATGGTGAAGATTGTAGCTTTTGTCTCTTCCATCTCGTAAAGTTGCCGATCCCCGCCTTAACCCATTGATATGTGATGTTTTCTGATATCAAAATATTTTTCTTTAATAAAATTTAATATATCAGTATTTCTTTTAGACTTACTTGTTCTGATATTGATCTCCAACCAAGGTCGGCCATTCTATCACACTCGTACGTTTCGCCTAGTAATGGATTGAATGGTTTATTTGTCCTGCAAAACAAATAATAATAATAACAGAGTTAAAATAATAAACAGTGATGAACAAGTTACGATTATTTAGATACGATTTTAGGTCACAGGAATTTTCCTTAAATTTTTGATGAAAACAAAAAGAGAAAGAAGATAATAATATGTGCCTTTCAACTGGTGTCTTCAAATTGGAATCATCATTAGCAATTATTATCAATTATGGGTTAAATAACCATTTATTTATAAAAACTAGGACTGTTTTTTTTTTATATTAGAAATCGTTGTTAATAATCAATTTGATAGATAAGCAAAAGACGAAGAACTTTAAAAAAATGTCTATTATTTTTAATGAATTTTTCATTCACAAACTATAAGTCAAATATTTGAAATAAACTGATATTATATAATTATATGGGTATTATATAGCGATACATAAAATAAAGTTATATTTGATTTAAAAAAAATGAGAAGCACCAATATCTTCCTATCAAAAATTATGAAGTTGTATACTTTAAAAACTAACACTAAAAACGTAATTTTGTGTAATTCAAATTTGATGTCATATTCAAAAGTATATATATTAAATTAGTTTACTCTTTGAATAGGTGATAGAACTGAACTTACAATCAGCACATACCTAAAGTTTATTGGCTTAATATCAAGGTTTGTGAACGGTTAAAAAAATAACGATTTATAACGATTGTGATTTTCATTAGGAAAAAAAGCTGAGAGAAAGTGATTGATGAAGGCTAATAACAGAATTCTGTGAGTTAAATTAACTGGTATCGTTGATCAAAACGTTGAAAAAAAATTATAATTATAAATATCCGAAACCCAAATGAAGGCAAAGAAAACATCTGAAAAAAATTATGAAATATAAAGTTCTTTATGAGCTGGTAAATGACGTTAATCTGTACCTGTTTGAGGTGGTGGCGTATGAGGAGACAGTGAAAGCTGCGACGTATGCGAGTTGTTGGGCGGGATCTTCGAACTGTGCCGCCTTGTCTAGGATCGACGAGTACTCGTAGTCCTCCGTCAGCCGCTGCAGCATCGACAGTGGCTCGCTGAAGTTCACCGGGATCGGTATTTTTGATAGCTCCTTGCCTGACAAATTAGCGCGTTCGGTTTACGCTAAGGCTGAGAACGTACTGCGTTTAACTGCGCACGAGGTTTATTTCAAATAGCGTGACAATCATCGAAGCGCCCAAGGCGATCAAAATTATGTAAAGAAGAACCAAAGTTGCGTATTGATCTAAGTATCCTATCTTCAATTTTGTCTATTTTAACTAAAAACTTGATTCAAATTGATGCTAACAGATACGACACTATTCGACAAGAATAGAGTCCATCCGATACGAATCAAATTGTTAGTTAGTAGATAGATTTGAAGAAGTTATGCCAAGATATTTTGATCACTTTGCGTACATATAACATTTATATGCAAATTGAACTTCTGTACTTGACATATTTTTAATCAACTTTGGCGCTTCGATATTCATGACGCTGACTGTCCATCTAAAAACGCCATATGTTACATTTTATATAACTATAAGTATGTCACATTTTTTGCAGTTTCAGACTCGTATGGTGATCAGTAGCCCAATTCACGTAACAAAAAAAGATATAGCAGCGATTTAGTCCTATTTACTAATTCACGTCTATGAATAAAGTCGAATTTAGGTTAGTTCTATCGGAGTATAGTGTCCTAGTCCTAGTTACCTAGTCAATGTGTGTCAAAATTTGCGAAAATAGGACATTAAGAGCTATTCTGCTAAACAAATGACATTTCTTTCGATCTGCTAAACAAATGACATTTCTTTCGATTGGATGCGGACCGACCAAATGTCAAATTACATGATTTAGCCGCGGTTGAACTAAAGTTCAATTGGTATTGTTTACATAGTAAAACATAAAAACAAACAATATGAGCAATATGATTTGTTAAAGCTTTTATTCTATTGGATATTTATTTATTCCAATAGATATAAGTGAGGCTCTTAATAATGTTTCTTTTTTTTTTCTAAAGATTGAATCTTAATTATTCAAAAAAGTGCTAAATATTAAAATTAAATATTTTGAAGTCGATTAAAAAGAGACGACGCCTTCGAAATCCCTGAAAAGGATTTCAGAAAAATGATTAGGCTCACCAAGGAGTTAGAGTTAACCACTGAACACGTCTTTCTGTAATCTGTGATTAAGAGTTAGTCTCATTGATGAGCTCACTTCAATAATGAGTGAAGAACAAAAACCTAGGGCGAAATCTGTGTCTGTTGTCTCCATAAAATATATTATTCGACACAATGAAACCGGCTTATTAGAGCAACTTTTTAATTCAAACTTCAAAGAACAAAGACTAAGTTTTCACACAAATAAAAAAATGTGTTTAAATTCTTTTCATCCAAAACTTTATATAGGATCTTTACTCTTTAGTGTTAGCCTATACATATTACATAGACATGCATAAAGTTTAAAGTTCCTCTTAATTAAAAAAATATATTTTTTTCTCCATACGTGTAAAGACCACCAACGAGATATTGGCGGAATCGTGTAAACGCAATTAGATCATACATTCAAATAGAAACGGAAGAAAATGTTTATTGTCTTTGCCAGATAAATGTCGCCCACAGACTATTTCATATTAAATCTGCCAATTAACAGGTTTGGTTTTCTATATATTGTTTCATTTTTTATACTTTAAATTAATAAAAGTTGAACATTAATTTAAAGTATATGTAAATATTTCGTAAAATTTGATTATCAATTAATCTTACAGGCAACTGTTTTCGATTAACGAGTTATTAGAGTTTTGATTCCATAGAGTCACTACAGAGACTTCGATCGAACGGTTTATAAACTTCTGAGTTATTTGGATTGTTCATAGTTACGAGAATAGAGCTACTGAGCCTGTCCCATGTTCGATATTGACATGAAAAAGAAGAGAGGAGCTAACAATTATACTAGTGTGAGTCATGTCATGATCGAATACATTAATATTGAATTTTAAAGGTGATCGAAATTATATTATTTCAATTTATTATATTATACACGCTTTAATCACCAGTAACCATGTGAATATCAGTTTAATTATACTATGTATTTTTCTGTAGATCTTTTTGTCCTATATTCAGTAATAATAAATTTTACTTAGACTTTCTTTTTTTGTTCACAATTATACTTATTAGCTTCAGGCTAAGATTATCCATATCCTTAGATCGAAAGCAAAATTTTATAGAGGTGGAAATATCATATGTCATACTATTATCTAATATGGTGAATAAATAAATGTTATGTAATAGTCTTTTATTTAGTCGTCGTCACATTGGAGGGGTTTTAACAAAACGCAATAAAAAGTACAGCTTTAGTTGAAATCGACATGTACAAAACAAACTAATATGTGAGTGCTACAGGAATGATAATTATTTTATTATTTAAACGTATACGTACACGATAGCGAAACCGCATGTGCTCGCTACGTTAAAATACAATAATTATAATATTAATTAAAGCATAATAATCTCACATCTAATTAATATACAATTTGATATTATTGTATTTTGTGTGACTCTGGCACATTTTGTAAGTATATATGCAGTTGATATTTCTGAATCAATTGTAAAAGAACTGAAAGTGTTGAAGACAAGAAAAGGAACTTGATCTGTCACACTAATCCCAAACTGACAGCTACATATAGAAAAGGGATGTAAAATTGTTGTTTTAAGCAATCCACTTATGGGTGCAAACAATTTGCATAAAAGAATAATATTGGGGACCCAATAAAAACAAGGTAAATGGTTACAAATCCCGTAAATAACAACTACTGTAATTGCATAAAAGAGGTTTAAACAATATTAGAGAGCTATAGATACCTATACAATTCTTCATGATGGACCATAAGCTGAGTGGGTAGTTGGGTTTATCAGGCACTCGCGTCCGCCGCGGGTGGCCATCTACCATACTCACGACCTCCGACACATGTGGCTGCAAATTTATACTCTATTTCAGTAACAGTAAGCTTCATTGAAAAGTTGTAGAGGCCTACATTTTACAGAGAAGCATTTTTTTTTATTCCTTTATTTTTTAAGGGGTTTTTATTCTTTAGAACATGCCATCCCCATCGTAACATACTTAAATCTAAATTCATTTTATAACAATATTTCACTAATGAATTTTTATCAGCATTTACTACAGTTTATCTTAAATTTATGAGTAATTTACATAGTTTTTGTGCAATGATAGAGTTAGGCTCTGCTAAAATACTTTGAATTAATCCATTATCTAAAACATTTAACTTAAATTCTTTCATACATGACTCCCTCTCATCTTTGTTTCTAATACGCTCCATCAGCAAATGTTGTATATCTTCAATTTTATTGTAGGCGTGACATTTATCTGAGTCAGTCATTTTCATTAAATATTTAAACTTTGCCGATGAGTAGTGTCCAGAACAGAGTCTTAAAATCAATTTAATGTAATTTCTATTTATTTTAATATTATCAAACCAAGATTCACAAGGAGGTTGACTTTGAATTGTTTTAAACCATATACCTTTTCAGAGAAGCAGAATAAACATGGGGAGGAGCTTGTAATTAACATGAACCATTGAATGCTCCAATATATTAGTTTTTGAGTTTGTTGCACATACATCCATAAAAATTGTCATCAGTTTAAAGCAACATTATCTTCGCTTGAAAATGTCATTAAACCTTAATGGATGTTTGTGCAATTGACCTTTATTTATAAATGTAGTCCTTAAACCTTAAACTTCTGTCACCTAGTAAAGGAGTGCCAACTTTAAGCCACATATAAGTAAGAGGATTACAAATACTTACCCAGATTTTCATGTCTTGCTTTTCACTCGGGGGTTTATTGTTTACTGAATTCGCCTCGGACCCGCCCATTGCGCTTTCTGCTCTTTCCTTATCCTCCAAAAATAGCACCTATATCAGAATCATAATATTAAATTGGAAAATAGTTCGTTTTTATTTTTCTGCTAGTGTTACAGTATTAGTTTCAGATTCAATCATAATCAATCATAATATGTGCTCAAATTATAATGATCATATTCTAAACTACTATAATATTTTTTGTACTATTACAAGTGTAGTTAATATATACATATAAACTAGTTTTCCAAGAGTGGTTTCACCTGCGTCGTCCTTAAGGAAATGTTTCACAGGATAAAAAGAACCCTTAATGTTAATTTAGGCTTTGGATTAACCGTATACCAAAGTTACATTGAAATCCATGGAATAGTTTTGGAATTAGAAACTTTCGCATTAATAATATGAGAGATGTGGCTCAATATATCCCATGGAAAATTCAGAGGAAAATTTTATATAACATACTTTCATAAAAATTTGTAAAGATATGTCATATGATCAATTAATCTCCTGAACTATCCAAATTAATCATATAAATAAGTAGCTTTCTGCCAGTGGCTTTGCCTGAATGGTAATTTAAAGATATCAACATGCAGATAGCAGGAAGCAACTTTGTTATGCATGTATAGATTAGTGACTAAACACTGACCTGTTGAGTTTCTGTTACTGTTTCACCCTCAGATTCATCAGAGCTTTCTCCACTTTTTACTTTACTTTTTCTATTGACCTGTAATATGATACACTCATGATATGGTTCACTTCATTCATGATCCTTTTTTTATAAATAGTGATAAATTTTACCTTCAGTTTTAATATTATTGACAAGTTATCTTGCATATGATATGGGAAAAGTAGATGCAGCTTTAATATCCAGACACTTAGAATTAATAATGTATATTGGATTGTCCTTCAACTAATAAATGATTCACAACTCCAATCACAATGAATTCCATTTTTAAATAGCCAATAAAAATCATGAAATGGAATTATGATAGTCATAAATTAGTAAGATTGTAATGAAAAATTGTAATACTTAATCATGCTCACATTTTGTTTTCACATGAAAGGATATTCTATGTTTTTATGCTTTGACATATTTACTTACAGGCACTTTAATCACAAATGAAGTCTTATCTTCCATGGCTGAAGACACTCCTTCCTCCACAGCATCAAAGAATTCATGATCTTCATCCTCTGTATCATTGGATTGCCCAGAGCCGTTGCCACCTGTGTATATACAAAAATATTGAACTCTATTAAATATCAAGATAACTACTGATACTAGAACAATTAAAAGCTTCATTTACTAATGCCATTTATGAACATAAATATTTTTTTATGAATATTTGCATATACATTTTTACCGATTGATATCATATTTGTAATTTTTATCTCACTATAATCAAATGGGTATCAAGGTCAAATATAAACAGGATAATTCATACAGTCTTTGAACATTAAGGAAAAATATACAACCATAATCCCAAGCTAAATGGAACTAAAGCATGCATTCAACAACAAAATACCTTTCTAAATAAAATGAGTAACTATGTATTAATTTATTTAAATTACATGTTCTTTAAAGAATACAGATATGTAGGTACTACTTGTATATTTTGCAAAGAATCATCAATATAGAGATACAATGTAAATAGATAAGTTATTGCAAGGAGTCATTTATTAAATAACAAAGAGATACATCACTTCCAGCGTTTTCCAAGGGGTACAGATATTCTATAATATAGTTGTACCACTCTAATACTCTGTTCATTTCAAGCCAAAATTATTTATCCTACAATTAAATAAAATATTATTACATCAATAGCATATAAAGCATCTTTATACAGCTGTTTGTTTTTAATTCTAAATATTTGTGATCACATTATAATATAATTAAAGTGACTAATGCTTACAAACAGTTCAAAGTGCAGATGATGTATCATGCCAATGTTAATTTATATCTTCATCAAATGAAACCCCAAACAATAGGTTGACTCCATGACATGAGTATTATTATACTTCACAGACATAAAACCAGCTATTTACATGTTTGCTGGCTAGCAGCTTACTGCAGATATCGGAAATCTAAACAAATGACGTGATAATATACAAACATATTTGTTGGTTCAGTGCAGTGTCTTGTGATTATATAAATGTATGAATCGCAAACCAGACTCAGTCAACATTCTCATTATCAAGTCTTCACTTACCGCCCATGACGATTGTAAAGATGTATCATTCAATTTGCCATTGAAAATAACCTAAACTGAATAGTAACTAGAAAATATATTCAAGCCAGCACTACAAGGCCAAGATCACAAAAGACGCGACATTATTAACAACAAATTTAGTAGAACACTGCCAAAAGACGAAGTTTAGTACTCGGTACGCGATAATTAAATAAACGAATGAGTTGTGTTCTACCAATTACAGCAGCTTTTGTAGAGTAAAACAACCTTGGAATCGTCCAAATTTTAAAATACTTAAAGGAGAATCGAAGTTTAAATTATGTTGAAAGATCTTCTTACATACCAAAACCAATTTTAATTGTTAATCATTTTTTTTACTTCTTTTATATATCACTTTTTTATATTTTTATAAATTTTTAGTTATTTGTTTTTGTTGAATTCCACTTTTCGTTCGCCAAATTTACTTCCAATTCGATTTTTTACGTTTGTCCGTCATCAACGTCAATGACTAGTGATGTGCAATATCCATTCGATTAAATAATAGATACATTTGCTCAAATCGATTAAAAATAAAAAATGTAAAATCGGATATTTCATTTGTTATTTTATATTACTAAAAAATTCAAAATCTTTACTTGACACGTAAAACTAACGAACGAAGGATGCAAAGAAATTTGTTTACACTATCTTTTTCAATTCATAGAGAATTAAAATAATGTCGTCTTCCCTATTTATCTCCGATTTTAATTTGAAACTCTAAAAAGCCATGCTATTCGAGTAGATAAATATGGTATAAACAAACGAGTAAATCGGACTGCAGTACTAGTACACGTAGTAAACAGGTTTTCTTTATATAAGTCAAACGTCATTCACCGAGTAAAGTAATAGCAATCATTAATAGAAGTAATTAATTAGTTTTTGAATTTATCTTAGGAGTTTGATTTTATCCAATAATACTCCATATTTGAGAGTAAGAAAATGGCATCATTAATTTCCAAAAGAATTACATACTTCTGACGAGAACTTCCGCATCGCAATAGAATCGAGAGATACACTGCCTATTCCTGAAAATCTAAAGGTACAATTCTTTGTAGAATCACAGGCGAAGAGCAATACAGAAAAACCAGAATCCGAAGAGAAAACTGAAGCTTTAATTTCCAGAAGGAAGAAGTTCTATACATACTGTAAGAAAATCTCATATAGTACGGAATCGTGTTGGTCTAACAAGAAACAAGGTAAAACTTTTACGAAACTTTCAAAGGGCAAAGACAACAAACAACAGAGAAGTTTCAATACATGTCTAAATTTAAATAAAGTTAATATGTCAAAAATGTCATGGTGTTTAGACAGTGGATGCACATCACATATGACGAATAATAAACAAATATTTTTAATATTTCCAAAGACAATGGCTCGGTAAAATTAGCTTCAAATGACCGCTTAACGCCAGTTAGAGGAAAAAGCACGGCACAAGCAAGACAACTAATACTCATGCAAATTACATGAAACTCTTTATGTGCCAAATCTCTCAATAAACTTACTTTCAATCGGGAAGATCACGGACAGAGACAATAAAGTAGTGCTAGAGAAAGATAAAGCTTATGTTGTTGAACCTAACGGTGACATATCTCTGAAAGCAAAGAAAAAGGATGTAGTATATATCCTGGCTTCTTATGCCACCATCATCATATCAGAGATGATGATATGATGATGGTGGCATAAGAAGCCAGGCCACATCAATGAGAGAGACCTAAAACAAATGGCTAAAGACAAGAAGTTTGGAGGACTTATTTTGAAAATAAGTAAAAAGGAAGATAAGCTAGATACATGCGAAACATGCATCAATGGTAAAATGACACGATTACCATTTCCCAAAAATGATTATATAAATTGCAGCCAACCATTAGAAATCATTCATACTGACGTCTGTGGCCCATTCGATATAGAAACTTTGGCCAGGTTAAATTATTACGTCTCATTCACCGACGATTATACAAGATATAGCTACGTCTACTTTATGCAAAACAAAAAAAAAGTGTTTAAACTATTCAGAGATTATAAAAAAAGTGGAGAATTTTCACAAACTTAAAATACAGAATCTGCAATCTGACTACGGGACTGAATTCAGAAACAAAGAGTTCGATCAGTATTTAAGGGAGAACGGATTAAAGCGACGATTTACCGCACCTTACACGCCCAACAACAAAACAAAACGGCGTTGCTGAACAGAAGAACAGTAGCCTAATTGGCTAAACAAAAAACTTTTACAAATCACTTTGAATTTGTCATTTGAAAGACATTCGCGAACTTCACGCTACAACTATTTGACATGTCAAAGCAATTGCAATCGCGACATTTTTTTGAAATATATTGAATGAACGATAACGTTCCTTTAGCGTAAATCTGAATTGTCTAATGAAATTGATGGTTACAAATACCTTTGAAAGCATTCGGGTAATGTCTAATGAAAGCGTTGAACACCAACTGCAATCTTTCGATATTTTATGTAATTATTATTATTCTTGAAATCACTCGTTACGGTGAAAAAAATACTAAGAATACTTACTTGATTGCTTTTGTATTTATAATTATTTCATAAAATGGTTATTTTCTAAGTACCACAAAATTTGCAAATTTCACAAGGTGACTATTACAAGATGTAAATAAATTCCTCCATTATTGGGTTACCGATCTTTTTATACGTCGATTTATTCAGAACTCTATCTACAATAAAAGAAATTAACAGCTATAAATAATTATTTCAAACTTAAAATGAAATGCCAAGTTTATCGAATATTTCTGACAGATGATGCACAGCTGATGACATGACGAGCTCAGGGATTCAACGATACCACGTAGGAATCGCTACTTTTATACGATACCTACATGTATCGAATAGTTTTAAACTGCCTCACCGTCGTCGTCATTTTTTATAGTTTTTTTCAGAGTAGATTTGATACTATTGATAGCCAATAGCTATAATGCCGAAAGAGAAGTATGCCTAGACATAAAAAGCAATAAATATAGAATGTAAATATTTAATTGGGTATTGCTTCAAAATTTTGTTCGCAGTGCCCCCTCTAGTTAGATCTCCAACTGCATAAAATTAGTAGGGGTTAGTATTGATTAGTCATACAGGGACAGGCACGCCGCGCCTGTCGGACTTTTTCATAAGATAAACTTTAGACACCTTAACACTGAGTAAACAGAATAATGCTCGCGAGCTTTTGACACTCCTTAGTGACTGAATTATCAAGCATAATAAATAATACAAACACTTACTTTCTTACTTCACGATAATAATTACCACTCGCTTTTAAAGTATCGATGCCATAAGTATTTGGTATCGAAAGAAATGTAACGAGTAAGTACTTGTATTTACTCGTATCGGTCCATCCCTAAAAGAGCTGACATAAAAAAACGTGTATGTGAAAAGTATGAAATGATTTAACATTCTATTATTTTATTTATATGAATAAAATATTTTTATTCTTTAGTCGAAGTAAGAGATTACAATCATACAAAATCGTAAAGATTATTTCACAACTTAACAAAAACAAATGAATTATCTATGACATTCTATATCATTCAAATAATCATTCGTTCCGAAAGCAATTATGACTTTAAAAGTAACACAATTCCATAAATCACTATCACAACCGCTATACGTTTCAAAATGATTGTGATAGATTTAAAAATTAGACAATTAGCCCACAGGTCCTTATTAGACAAAGCTTGTTGTTAGATGATAGATTTAAACGCGCCCAAGAGTATTTGGGCGGATATGTAAATACTGTAAATTACCTTGTAAATAGAAGTCCAAGCAAACTACTAAAGGGTAGTATACCATATGAGATGTGGGCAGAACAATTACAAAAATGTGAAGATAATGATGACGAAGATTATCATGATGCTATAAAATCTGAAATCAGAGCGTATTCCAAAAATGGTACATAACGGATAGTTCCTAAAGAGAAAGATACGAGACTAATCGGAATCAATATTGTTCTAAAATAGAAAATTGGCCCAAACAATGAAATCAAAAAGATTAGACTAGTCGCTTAAGGTTTTACACAAAAAACTGGGGTAGATTTAAATGAAACTTTGCACCTGTTGTAAAATTGAGTTCCATAAGAACAGTTGTAGGTATGGCATTAGAAGAAGAGTTACATTTATGTCAAATGGATGTAACTACAGCATAGCTAAATAGTGATTTATGATGAAAGAATAACAATGAAAGTTCCAGAATGTCTAGAAGAATTTGTATTAGAGGTGATGATGGATGAAATAGATAAAGAAGATCTGACTGTATATAATAAAGCTAAAGAAATAAGGCTTGAAGATCTGAAGGGTATAAAAAGTGATAAAGCCTGTTTACTAGAAAGATCGCTATATGGATTAAAGCAATCAAGAAGTCAGTGGTTTTAAAGTCTAGACACTGAACTTAGAAAGATTGGCTTTGAAACTTCATCTGCTGATCCATGTGTGTACATATCGATTAAAGGAGGAGATAAAACGGTCATTACGATCTACGTAGATGACATCTTGATGGCTTACACATCTCCTCCTGAGACCGCTAAACGTATAAAAACGTTGTTATCAAAACAGTTTGAGTTAAAAGATATGGACAAACCCAAAAGACTCCTCATATACAATGACGAAGGATTGATTTCATATACAATGACGAAGGATTGATTTCATATACAATGACGAAGGTATCAAACTACGCCAACAGCCATATATTGAGAAAACACTCAAAATAATTGGTATGGTCAAATACAAAACCTCAAAGACGCCAATAGAACCTGGTATCTGCCTCATGAGTAGCTCGGTGGCGTAGTGGATAAGCGCCGCGGCCCGCGATCGTAGTTGTTAAGCAACTTTCGCAAGGGTCTGTTATGGGATGGGTGACCAAAAATTATTATCTCGAGCTACTCCGGCCTTCGGAAGGCACGTTAAGCCGTTGGTCCCGGCTGCATTTGCAGTCGTTAATACCCTCAAATCCGCATTCGGCCAACGTGGAGGGTCATAGCCCATCCTCCTTAACCATAAGGAAGGCCTGAGCCCCTGTAGTGGGGACGTAAAAGAGCTGATGATGATGATGATGATGCTGCCTCATGAAGAACTCCAAGAAAGTGGGGGATAAGCTACCGTACAAAAATCTGATCGGTCTGATCGGTTGCGGTCAGTTACCTATCGCAATATAATGATTGTTACAGTGAGGAGCATTTTAAATGTGCCAAAAAAGTAATAAGATACTTAAAAGGTACTAAGAGCACGGGACTGCAATACCAAAAGACGAATACAGATATGTTTGGAATGGCCGATGCCGATTGGGCTGCCTGTAAAGAAGATAGGAAGTACCCGTTTAGCGTACTTGAGTTTTGTTTTATGATGTAAGCAGAAAAAAAATGAAAGCAATTAGTTTTACTGTTAGATAATAAATACCAAATTTCAGCACTAACTTCATGAAAATGAAGAATGTTCACTATATTGAAATTATAGCTCTTCGTATTGTCTATTAAAAACAAAATACTTGTGAAAGAATTATTTTTATACGTCCATTAGTCGGCTTCAAGGCCTGTAATATTGACAACAAAGCGTTCCAAAAATTATCATAACCACCCAATAGCATCATAAACATAACTCTCTATTACCGATCTGAAATATATTAAAAATCTACATTTAAAAAGGTTTATTACATCTTCTCAACTTACTGCATTTTTTAGTTATACCTATTATTATTATAATATCCCTTTATTCACTAGTAAGGAGTAGGCATATTATATGTAAAACTTACTACTAAGAACTTGAATAAAGTTTGGTACATTACAGTACAGTTTTAATAAGTAATTTTAAATATAATATAGGATTGTTAGTATCTATACTCGAAATAAGCATAATATTACTAGAAAGACAACAAAACGTACCTTTGCATTTTTACTCCGCATTTCTGCGGCGACGAAATCACTATTATTCGATAAATAATCGGCAACCACCCGATCGATCTACTATAGGTAGGTTATCAGATTTCCTTTTTTCGAATCCCTCATCCATTTTAATGAGGAAGAATTTAAAAAAGCATCGCCGCCGCCGCACCGCTGCGAAGTGCCTTTTTTGTCGATTTTTGGTTTGTTCTTGTGCATTTTTAATTGAATTTTTGTTAATAAGAAACTAGAGTATTGGTCTTGAGTGTTAAGGTTAATTTAGTGAAGATTGTGTTTAGTTTTGTGTGAAATATGATGTGTTTTGCGCGTGCATGCACCGGCATGCAAAAGAGCGTGCTTAGCTCAGTCTTCAGAGAGGAATTGGACATTTTCAGCATCGACTATCGTTAAGATATCGGTAAATAATTAAATTAATGTATTTCGTGGTTTGTAATAATGCACACACAATCGATATTGCGCATGCGCGTTATACGGCTGTCAACACTTAGTAATTTAAAACGTTTACTCCATTTTTACACCTCCTCTATTTTGAAATATTTGTCAAATAAAATGAACGTTTGCATGTAACCCATCTTGAAACTTTCGGCTGTGTTGGTCATTTTGTTGCTCCCAGTATATTATCGATAGAGGTTAAATAAACCTTACTCATTTCGTTTTATATTTAGGCGTCGCCAAAATTTTTATTTTCTGATTTGAACATCATTTGGAGCATTAAGAAAATCTATGGCAACCCCATCCCTAAGTTACGTTCCAATTCTACTATTTGGAAAATGTTGAATCATTATTTTTAACTTCTATTAATTATTGATATTTTAGACATCTGAATGTTAAATACAAGTCAAAAGATATTCTTCCGTTATTATATACCGAGTATAACTATTTTTGGTATAACGATTGAATCACCTTAGTTTAGGTAATTAATTTTTATAAGTAAGGCTGTAAGAATATAAGAACTTGTAGGTATAGTAGTTGAACTTGTTACAATTCATTTTGATAGGACATTTCAAACAGATGGTGTTTGCGTATATAGAATAAAAGTTTATAACTTTATTTACGTGAATAGTGCTAAATGTAACTATTTAGCACTATTTTGGACATGCATAGCGATTTCGTAATTTTTGACATTTTATTTAGCATACATTTTACTCGAGTTGGCAACACTGGTTTAAGCACGGTCGTGCACTTTACGCTTTATAAAACCTGACACTCCGAAGACCTATAGTAGTGAATTCATTCCCCTTGCAAGTGAGCTCTTTCACCGTGAGGTATTTGTAAAGGCAAATTTTCTGACATACCTGACGTGTTCCGCGCTGAGACTGATTTCTCGAGTGTATCATGTTGCCTGGCGAGCTGTTCGACAACCTCCTGTAGACGCATCTTCTGCTCTCTTTCGTGTTGCAGTGCACGATTCATGCGGGCGCTAGATGCAGCCGCAGCACTCATAAATTCTGAACATGCCTAGAGGCAAATTATTCGAAAATAAGATTATGAATTACGTTTCATCCTCGTGACTGCATTTTAGATGTTTTTTGTCTAATATAAAGAATTGATCAATATTACTGGTAAGCTAAGCTTTGAAAATACTCCTATTATTGTAACGATTGCCGAAAACATGATTAACAAATCCACTAATAGTTTTCATGAAAAAACTGGTAAAAATATTATATTTGATCCATTTTGCATTCACAAAGCTATATTGATATTTTAATAGAAAAAAAGCTTAAATAATGAACCAGTTCTAAGTGCGTGGGAACTGGGACCAGAGGGCTGTTTGTTCGAACGAAATTTCGGAATATTTCGAATCATTCTTGTAATTTTTAAAAACATATTATTATTTGCGAAGATTATCAGACGTGTTAAGCCCGACGTCTCTGGATTCTTATATTAGCGTTTTCAAAATAGACGAAAGTTCGTTTTCGGAGAAACAGAGCAGGCCTTTTAGGACATCAACGGGACATCAACAATGTATCTTTTATGAGTGATTTCAATCAAAAAGAAGTATTCCATACTAATAAATAACTCACATTCATCATTGCATTGCATGATATCCTAAAGAGAGTTGCCCTCTCGGACACCTGCTTAGTGGTGTCAGTGGGTGGGGTTTCTAGATCAACCAATGATCGTTGTAGCGCCGCCCCGTGCCTTGTCACCAACTCTGAACACGTCCTGAGGTCATGAAAGCGTGCGGCCAACTCTCGAGCGATGCCCCCAGCATCTTCACCCTCTCCCTCACCACCACCCACCGCGACAGCCCCAGACGATATCTGATCTTCATCGTCATCCGATTCTTGTGCACGACTACAAATTCATGAGTATGTTATAGTAGGTAGTCGTAAAAATCATTCGCAATCTGTATCAATTTTTATGTTTGACTTTTCTAGTGGTTAGTGTGTTCGGTCTACGATGTAGAAAGTTACTTTCGCAAAGGCTGGTCATAGAATGGATAACCAAAAATATATCTCGAACTCCTCCGTGCTTCAGAAATCACGTTAAGTCGTTAGCCCAGGCTGCATCTGCAGTCATCAACATCCACCAATCTGCACTAGGCCCGCGTGGTAGCTAATGGCCTATTCTCCTTATTCGATTCAATACATCGGAAAGGCCTATACCCCAGAAGTAATGATAATGATGTTATAATTATTTGAGTTGATTATGTAAAATGAATCTTAAGCCAGTACCTATAATGTAAATTAATAAATGAACTAAATGTAAAGTGTTGTTAAGACCTCCACCATGAGCCCAAACAGGGACTCGTGGTTAACTAACACTAACATCGCTTTCGCCTTTGCTAGCTCAAGCGCTGTGACCCAGCTTTGTCTCTCCACTTCGTCATGGGCTCGGATATGGAATGTCTGCGTGCCTCCATTGCTGATTACAAATGTGCACGAGTCTGCTGTGTGTATGAGCGCGCCCAGTAGTGAGATAGTTCCACGGCACGTATGCGCCATCTCGGCTTGATTTCTGAAAATAAAACCAACTAGGGTAAAGACTCCATTATTCAGACTTCAGTTATAAATATTCACGATAATCTGAATTGCCAACTACGATATTATGGACTCAGGGCCAGATCTAGGGGAGGCATGTGAGTTAATTGCCCGGGTGAGTGTCAGAAGTATAATATAATACGGTTAACACAGTGCCGAATCTATGAATATTTCTAACTGGGGTAGAAACTTGATAGCGTGCTCTTCACCCAAATGGAAACGGAATATCTGTCGAGCGTATCATGGAAATATGTTTTTTTAGGTGACCGTTAGTAGATCAATCTGACTTCAGTTCAATCTTGATGAAATTGATATCAGACTGTGTTGTAATGGCGTGTTCGATTTCGAGTGACTTACCACTCAGCACTTGTCAAACGATAACGTCGCTTGATTCTACTTCATCGCCACCTACAGAAGCAATATCGACACACAAATATATCGGAGCCGAAAAAGGTTCCCTAATTGCTTTGGAAATGACAAAATATCGCTCTAACCTACTGGTTAGCCTATACCTATAGTACTCTATAGGATGGGACAAAGCAAATATACATTATACTAATAAATATAAAAGAAACGAAACTTTAGAGAAACTGTTAATTATTTTGAAACAAATTAAACCTAAAGTGGCAGAAACTTGATAGTGCGCCATTCCCTGTCCCCGTTCCGGGAAGTGGGATTTTTTTCTATTAACATATTTAAAGAATGTATGATTATTATCTTTTATTTGACTAAGGGACTTTTAAAACATGTCCTACCTTTCGTAGATATTTTTAACAATAACATCAGACTACTATTGGGAATTAAGGAAGATTAATTTCAATAAATCCGGTGAATATTTAAAAACCCTGTCTTTACAAGTAGATAAATAAACTGATGACCGATTGATCATACGACGCAGGAAAGCAAACACATAGTAACCCGCAAAACCAAAATGGAAATTTAAAGTGGAAAAGCTTTATATTTAAAAAAAAAAGTCTTATTTCCGTATAAATTGATTAAGGAACACCTTATTTATTACCATGGACGTTTATAGGAATTATATATCGAAAAAAAAGCTTTTCTGCTCTAAATAACAATTTTGATTTGCGGGTTACTACGTGTTTGCTTTCCAGCGTCGATATTATGGTTACCTTATGCGATAAATTATTTGTCGAGTATTCAAGCTTGAATGACTTATTATATAATTTGTTAGGTGGAAAGTGTCGTTTTTCTTTGATACATTTTCTGTCAGATATGCACTAATCCTTGAATAGATGTTTATAATTTATCATTACTCATCACAAAAACCTACAAATGAGATTAATAATTTCAACAAGGCAATACGTATTAAAGTTGATAACACATACAGAGAGGGAAATACAAGGAAATGAACACGCAAACCAAGTAACACAAAAATAATGTTTTCTGTTATTTGAAAAACATTGTTTGCATGCTAAGTTTACCTATAAGTGTGCTTATGAGTGAATAAATTGTAACAATAGTAACAAAATAAAAAACTATAAATTTAGCAATTTTATTATTTAATTGCAAAAGTGTTTTGTAAATTAATTTTAAGTTACTATAACCGCTTATGGTTAATGTATCATTAAAGTTTGGGTTTCTGTGGCATAATGACATAATGGTGTATGACTTTTTTTGTACTGATAGTCATGTTTATGACTGTTTCATATTGTTTATCAAAGGAAAATACATTATTTTATATATGAATTATGAATAGGTTTTATTCTAACATGGTGTATTTGAACTAGCGATGGGTGATTATTACTTTAAAAAATCGAATTAGTCGATTGTCCAGCTTAGTCGATTACAATCAATGTTATTCGATTGTTGTTATCAACTTAACTTTGCGGCGGCAGCGGGTGGCAATTACACGCTGCGGTTACCGTAATGAAAAAGTATTTAAGAAAAAAAAGAAAGCACTAAAAAATTACCTCCACTAGATGGCGACTCTAGCAAAAGTTGATTTTTGCAGGAAACGATTGGACCAAAGATAGTCATTTCCGTTCCTTTTAACTAACATTTTAATAAACTGAATTTTTTTAAGTTCGAAACTTACATATCAATACTAATACTAAAAAGTACAAATAGAATATGAGATGTTTATTGAATTTTGAAAACGATGTAATTTACTTTGATACATGATAGAAAACCAGAAGGGTTGTCATGGAGAAATCAAGAAAGTACTGTAATGACATTTAGTTTGATTTCGGGAACTAATGTTTTTTTTTTTAAATAGTCTGACTCGCACTTGGCCGGTTTTTTTTTATATTATGTTACTTTTTTTTTCTTGTTATAAATAATAACATAAATACCAACTAATTACTAATAAAGTAAGCAAACAATCAACGCAACACCGAAATACCCAACCCTCCCATACCCCGCGCACACCGCCGCCTCCCCGCACGTCCTCCCACAATTAACCGACCGCACGCGCATAGCATAGAATAATCACATAGCGTGCGTATTGGAATAATCATGGCGGGGAACTACTAAATCGACAATCAAATGCACAGTAGCACAGCTTTCGATTCGATCGATAGTTTTTTTTGCAACAATCGCCCATCGCTAATTTGAACTATCCTATTAATATTATGAATGTGAAAATTTCTTTGTTTGGATGTTTAGATGTTTGGATGTTATTACGTCAATCACTCTGAAACTACTGAACGGATTTTGATGAAATTTGGTATACAGATAAGGTGTTAGCTGACTTAGATAATACGATACTTTTTATCCCACTAAACATTTCCCTAGGGTCCACGCGGGCGAAGCCGCTGGCGAAAGCTAGTAATAAATAAATTTAAAAAATGTGGACTTTATTGTTCTTTAAACGAAAACGTTTCATATATATGAATGTACTAGCTTTTGCCCGCGACTTCGTCCGCGTGGTAAAGTTACTTTGAGCAGCATTTCTAACGAATATTTATTCATTATATCGTGTAAAATACCTGAAAAAAAGTCTTATCCTCTTAGCTTATTCCCGTAGGGGTGGAATTTATCAAAATCCTTTCTTAAGGGATGCTTACGTAATAGTAGCTTTATGCATGCAAAGTCTCAGTCCTTAAAATTGACAAAGTTTCATACAAACTTTCATCCCCTATTTTATCCCCTTGGGGGTGGAATCGATCAAAATCCTTTTTTAGAGAATGCCCACGTCATAGTAGCCTTATTGATACAAAATCTCAGCCCGATCGGTTTAAAATTGACAAAGTTTCATACAAAATTTCATCCCCTATTTTATCCCCTTGGGGATAGAATTGATCAAAATCCTTTCTTGGCGGATGCCTACGTCATAACATCTACCTGTATGCCAAATTACAGCCCGATCCGTCCAGTGGTTTGGGCTGTGCGTTGATAGATCACTATGTCAGTCAGTCACCTTTGACTTACATATATATTTAGATTATTTTCCCGTGGGAATGCGTCATTTTCCCGCGGTAAAATAATAATTGCCTATTGGTTCAGTGGTTTAGGCGTGATTAAGTAACAGACAGACAGAGTTACTTTCGCGTTTATGATATTAAAATAAATAATAATAGTATAGATAGTATAGATGAAACCATTAAAATAAATAACTTGTACCTATACTAACAAGTACTACACAATACAAACCACCTCATAAAGACCTTTCTGTTAAAAAAATTGCAAAAGAAACCTGTAACGCATTAATTAGGATCAATAAATAACATGACCATACATAACCATGATTATGACCTAAGAATAAAATGGGTATAGTATCCAAAATTTAATGCAATAGGCCTTCAGTTAGTAGTAAAGTGTGGTAGGAAATTCAGTTACCTTACAAATAATTATCTATTTCTAGTTCAATATACCCATCGACAAAATACAAAACAACAATAGTAAGTAATACTATAAATACTTATTTTGTTAATACAAATTTTAGTCTCAAAGAACAATAAAAAATGAAACTTAACCATATCACCTTTGAGCTTAAAATAATGGATCATAACAATAATGGTATGGACAAGTTATGAATATTTTATCTGAGGATCTTCCCAGTTTATCATTAATTTAACTTATTTCAGATTTGCCAGTATGATTGTTGTCTTGTCCGCATTGTTAATTCATATCAGTTGTTGACAACTGTTTTATAAACTTGCAGGAATTGTAAAAGTTATAGTTATGTTACACACTATAGTAAAATAATGATTTTCAGAGAATTGAAAAGAGCTTAGTTTGAGTTTTTCGATGTTTATGTTTATAATGAATGCGTTATGTACAAGTTTCTGTGGAAAGAAGAATGTTCACTCTCTATACAATCGTTGACCTGTCAAATGCATTTTTTTATGTTGATGTCTAATGATGTTACTGATTTATTTGTTTTTAAAATATGTCTGTAATACATTGTTATTAATATAAATTACTTTTGCAATCAGGAGACTCAGTAATAATAAAATAAAGATTTAGTGGTTATATTCCAATATGTTTAAGACTCTTCTCAATTCTTAACTTTTCGTAAATAGTATCTAGTTTTCAAAGTTTATTAGTTCCATCTAATTAAACAAAAAACCAAGGCTATTAGCTAAAAATCGTATATAGATATTGAAATGTATATTGTATCAATATCACAATATTCGATAGTCGATATCGTATATTGCTCACCGAATCTATATATTTAATAAAAATAAAAACACTATATTGCTATATCGATGCGATACGTCGGATTCGGTATCTCGCTCGATATCCGATATTTATAAATATGAAATTTCAAACCATATCGCTTCGTAATCTTCGTGAAAAACTGTAATAGCAATATTTGAATATTGCTTTTTCAGTCTTGTTAGGATTCAATACCTTAGCATATTAGAGTAAAGGTTGTTTCCATACTTTTCTATGTATCTATACACGTTTTTTAATAGACGCTTGTGAATAAGCATGCTAGTTAATCGCACGGCGGTTTATTTTTCCGTTCTAAATTAGCAAGTGTGAAGCTGCTTGATTTGTTTTGCTACTTGTTTGCTATTGTGTTCACAACGGCTTTAAGTTACGGAATACAGATCTATTCACACATATATAGTTTCAGAATCCGATATTGAATATCAATATATAGTTTCGAATCGATATTATGAAAATCTGATATTATCTACCGCTTATAATTAATAAGAGCAAGGTCAGCAATTTCTTTAGCAAATGATAGCTAACTCTACTATATTAATTCATTATATAATAAATATTTTTCCTCGTTCTTACATGATTAAGTTTGTTTATTTTTATTCGATATTTTCCCTAACAATGACCTCGTTCAAAAATTCTGCTAGAGGAACACTGTTGTTTTGGTGTTGTGCCCATCAGAAACAAATTACAGATGTAACATGGACACAACAGCCAAGAGTTCGTCGTCTCACAAAGCAGTTGCAGCAATATTCTACAATGCCTTCTCTCCCATCAATATTATTTTAAATTAAAATATAACATAATATCGGCGTCGGCCAACATTAGGAAATGCAATCTCGCGGGATTGGGGCTCGAGCGAGATCTTTCGAGTTTATGAACTGGCAGTTGTCACACCTGTGCTCAAAGTGGACTCCGTTTATAAATGATTAGAAAAAATTGTTTAAAGTTCAATAAATTACTCGCATAAATGGTATATCACAGTCCCATTGACCTATGTCTGGAAACTGCGCTCGCAACAGCAAATAATGGGATAGAAAATTTGTCTATGGAAAACAGAGGTTTAAAGGTGTACTAGGAGAAGTGTAATAAGACTATAGATCTAATTAAGATAATACGAAGCCGTGAAGGCTTTTTGTCACCTGTCCCGGGTAAAAAAAAGAAAAAAGCCAATAATGGAAATGGGTTTTAACGAGACACCAAAGAAAAAAGCAACTGATTCATCAAAACTTTTGTAAAATTGCAAATTGCACTTAGATAGGATTGCTGAATTACAAGAAAGAAACAAACAACTTGTCACATTGTTAGAATATCAAAAGAAAAAGAAGCAAACTGTCCTATCAATAAGAAGAATATAAAACAGGACGTTAAAATCAAGAGATCGATTATTAAAAAAATATAAAAGTAAAGTTAGTTAAGCGAAACAAAATTTTAGAAAACGAATGTTGTGATTAAAAAAAATGGTTTTCAAAATCAATGAACTGCAAGAAATTATTACAATACAAAGAAATAGCGTCGCTAAGACTAATGAGATTAAGATTCACGATGCCGACTGGACAAGTCTTAGTGAATATTCCCCTAGAACAAATGAAATTCATATTTTTTCTGATGAGGTAGGAAAAGATCTACTTGTATTTTTAGCCTATTTCATGTAACATTCACAAAAATATAAGGCAAGCTCATTGTGGTGCTTACTATTCAATGCTAAAAAGCACTATGAAAACAAACCATGGTATTGATATCAAGTCATACTCCAACTTGCTAGCATTTCTAAAAAGACGTTCAGAAGGCCATGTAAGTAAAAAATCGAAAGTATTTTCGGCTGACAATATCACGAAGTTCCTAAAAGAAGCTCCGGATTATTAATAGAGATGTTAACGATTTATTCTATGACGTAGCATGTTAAATATAAACCTGTATTATTAACATAGTTTAGTTAGTTGAAATTTTGACTTGTTTAGATTAAATTGCGATTATGTGAGAAAACTAAAATTTATGTTAAATAAAAAATGTAATGTTTTAATTGAAGAAGTTTTTTTTTGACATGATTAATTATGGTAAGTACGTGTTTTTAATAAAGGTAATTAGAAAGATAATATATCTTTATATAGAATAAAACAATAAAGTATTGTTTACTATATGTGATCAGTTCAAAGATAGACATTTATAAAATAACGAAAGTTTTTCACGCACCCTTGTTATTGTGTGCTTAGGGCGTTAAAAAATTAACACACAAATTTTTCTTAGCATTTAGTCTTCAGCATGTTAATGTATTTTAGTCGGTTTGAATGACTCTAGTCCTCAAAGATCTATTAGGAATTAGAGAATAAATTAACAAAATATTTTGAAAGTTTTGAAAGCACAAAATGTCTAAAGAATTGTCTGCCGGTCGTCTTCTTATTGTAGTAGCCAGATAACTAGCAACTAAGAAGGCCCTTTCGGAGATAAAAGTGTAAAACTTCGCTTTTTGACTCTCCGGACTCGCAATATCACACTAAGAATAGACACTCGTGTGGAATCTCGTTAACTTTGCGAGATCTCGACCAATTTTCGACCTAGATCAATCTCGCTAAAAAGTCTGATATCTCGCGAGAACGAGATTGCATTATCCAGCCAACATGCCGCGACTTAAATCTTCCTCTCAATATGCTAATTTCACCTCTTCCCCTAAGATTATATTCTGTGAAATTATTTGTTTCTGAACTAACTGTGAAGTTTAAATTTGACCTACTAAGATTTGGCAGTATAGCTAAGTTCCTTTATCTGCCCCAATTGGACAAAACAAACTACACTTACCTACTCAGACCTTGAAATCAAAGAGTCCCATATTGGTCATTTACATTTTTTAAATGTATTTATTATTTAACCACTCTTTCATAATTAACTAAAACTTCAAACAAATACAAATGATGTAAGATTTATAAACTTGGAAGTAACAAAAACTATAGATTTTTGTTTAAATGAGAAGTTATGATGCATAAATTAATCAGGGATCATAATTCGGACCAGATTTTAAAAGGTTTGTTTCTAATGGTTGCAGGTTTAATTTATTTTATGTCGCAATGCAGGTATAAAATATTAGTAGCCAGTGTTTATAATGATATTTTTAATTAGTTCCTTGTTAACATTTTTTTTGAAGACTTATTAACTATTATATATATTTAACTATTTAATAACTAATAATAATAACATAAAATGCTATTCAAAGTAATATATTACTTCATTATACATGATGATTGCTTATTTTGAACTGTCAAGTCAAAATTGAACTAGGAATGGGTTGTCATCCATTTTTTAAATTACATAATGCAACCACTAAAAGTTTGCCAATCACCAATATCTAAACTGTCTATTTTTGATTACTAGTTATTTCCACAATGCTATAAAGTCAAAGTAAATTTTACTTTTATACAAATGCGATGAAGCTCAATTTTGGGTTGGTTACATGATCACTCTGATTGTTGAACTATACAGAATGTACAAACATATACCTATTTCATTCACACAAATACTGATATACTGTTTTTGTTACATTCACACATGACAGGTTGCATTCTTAGCGATCCAAATTATTTAAATGCTCTACTTTATGTGTTACATTCTATACAGTTATTAAAATTGCACCACATGACTGTCAATGTAAATTGTTGATCTCTTACAGATGTATACGATGCTGCAAACTGTGATTGCAGATTCTTGGTGATCATGGAAGATGTAAAGCGAGTTGCCCAAACATCAACCTTAAGTGATTCATATAAGAGTGAACTCAGCTTTACTTTAAAGCGTTGTGGGAAACAGATAGTTATTGTATCACTGAATCACAAGTGATCGCGGTTCAGGCAGATCACTAGTTGAGTAACTGTATATCGCAAATTACATCCATAGCTGAATGTTATGTTGTTCTTTGTAGTAAACATAAAACTCAAGCTCACCTGGGCAGTCTGGGCCCATATTTGTATCAAATATATTATTAATAGTATATTACAAATTCATATTTTTTATGAAATTCTAAAGACAAAATTATAATGCAGGGCAAATAACTTAAAAATATTTTTACACCATTCATAAAAAAGTGAAGTATAAAATGTTATTTCGAGATATACCTAGATTATTAAGTTTAAGTATTAAGCTTAGATAATATATCGTGTTATGTGTTAATTAATGAATTCAATTTAATATTAATAAATAACAATCAATATATTATAATTGCTGTTGTAGGCAAAATTTTAAATAATCATATTAAAAAGTTTACCATAAAAAAATGATAGAAAAGTAATTAAATCACAAAAAAACTGAAAAATATAAGGAGATTCATCACTGCGTCATTTTATATAATATGCGATAAATTGCATTATTTTGAGTTTCAATATATGAAAATACTATTTATGAAGTCAAATTAGCAGAAAACAATAGATAGAATAACGATATTTACCTGTAGTATGATAATAATCCGTTGGATAACACGAACCATCTTCGCTGATAACCCTTGAGATAATTAGTCCATTTAAAGAGCCACCCTTTTTTTTCTGGATCTCCAGGAATAGGTTGTCCTTTAGTCACAACTACGTCGGACATTATGTTTGTTTATAATCACTGTTTACATATAAAAGCTAAAGAAAAACAAACTAATACATTCCCATTAGCCACGTCCGTTTTACACTTTTTCACTATAGCAGAACTTGTCATAGTTGTCAAGTCCCTTGTCACTACCATTCGCAGAGTAGGTAGTAGTAGTTCGCAGAATAAGTAGATATTTCGTCCGATTTACTAGTAGTTAATATGATTTCTCCTTAGCATTATCGCATGTAAAAAGAACAAGCAATTAGACATATGAATAAACATGCAATTGTCAATCAACATTAATTATAAATAACAATGAATTACACTTACAATGAGAAAATATTAAAAAAAAAATAAAGAAACTTCCAAAAATTATTTCACTAAATTGCAGCACAAATAGTAGGAATTAAATGTCAATGAAAAAAGTATTAAAAAAAACCATTAGTTCCCGAAATCTAACTAGATGTCGCCACGGTACGTTTTTTGATTACTCCATGACAACCTTTCCGGTTTTCTTTCGTGTTTAAAAGTAAATTAGTTTTCAAAACTCCATAAACAATTCATATTCTATTTGTATTGTTATCTAAGTTTCGAACTTTTCAAATTTTAGTTTTTTAATATTTTAGTTTTTTAATATCTTAGTTAATAAGAACGGAAATGACTGTCTTTAGTCCATTCGTTTCCTGCAAAAATTAACTTTTGCTAGAGTCGGCATCTATGGAGGTGCTTTTTAGTGCTTTTGTTTTTTTTTAATACTTTTTCATTCATGACATTAAACCAAAGAGAATAGAATTGATTTTGATATTTATATAACTCGACGTGTGGATGCATAATGGCATATATGGAAATATGGCACATAAAAAAAAACAAGCTGAATGAAGAATGTTACTAGGTATGCCAAATCGCTTGAAATTTTGTCTCAATAAAGCCCTTATGTATACAAATACACTAGTTTTTGTCGTAGTCAAAAATACCTAGTAATTTTGATTTTATATGCATTCAAAGTTTCGAAAAATATCGAATCCCGCTAACAGCCACGTGACCGCTTGTGACGTCATGTCACAACGCGCCGCGCCCCGCTTAGTATCAAGTCGCCAGCGGTTATAGTAGATATAATAGCTTGCGCAGTATTTTGTTGTGTTTTCGCCCGTGTATAAAGTTAATAGTCTAATAATATTAAATATTATTCGATTAAAAAAATAGACAAAGGATTCGAAAAAGGGCAATCGGATAATCTACCTAAAATAGATGGATTAAAAGTTGCGCATTATTTATTAACAAATAATAATTTCGTTGCCGCCGAAATGCGAGGAATAAAAATGCATAGGTAAGTAAACTTTCTTGCTATTATTGATGCTTAATAGTTTATCTGTTCTAAATTGTTTTATCAAAACAAAATACGCAACTAATGTCGTAATGGAAGAATGCAACTCAAATATTAGAAGTACCTACCTACCATTAAATTTTTACGTTAAAGACAAATATGTATTATAGTTTTGTAGCTATAGGTAGGTACGTATGTATATATAGGTACCGCTCTTAGTAAATTTAAACAAATACATACATTGATTTATTGCAAACTAGCTTCCGCCAGCAGCTTCGCCCACGATTCCCTCGGGAGCTGTACATTTTCCCAGGATTAAAAGTAGCCTAAGTGTTATTATTACAGACTTCGTCCAGATCTGTTCAGTAGTTTTTGCGTGAAAGATAAAAAACAAACACACACACAAACTTTCGTATTTATAATATAAGTAGGAAGTAGGGTAGGTACCTAGGATGTAGATGTTGTGGATACAGATGTTCTAAACCTTTTTTATTTGTATTTTTTTTTACTAACAAAATACGTAAGGCCATTTTATTAAATTTTTTTTTTTGGAAATATAGAAGTTTGAACAGATGTACTAAACCTGTTTTATTTATTAGTATTTTTTTACTAACAAAATACTTAAGGCCATTTTATTAAATTTTTTTTTTGTTGCAAATATAGAAGTTTGAACAGATGTACTAAACCTTATTTATTTATTAGTATTATTTTACTAACAAAATACTTAAGGCTATTTATTTTTATTTGAAACTTATTTCAGATCGGCAAGAAACAGCTATGGCAATGATGCTATTGGTTATGTTCAAGTTAAAAGAGTAGGTGATGTATATGTAGAATCACGCCAGAACACCGCGTACGTACCACACCTTATCATTGCAGTTTAGAATGCAATGAAAAGGATCAAGAAGTATTAAATGTAAACTGCGAAGATTGTGCCGCCAGCAGAGGTGGCTGTAAACATACTGTAGCATTTTTAATGTGGCTACATCGTCGAAATTGAAAAAAATCTAAGCTCTCAGGTGTTGGTGCGACACTGAAAATGATTAAAGCTAAAGATTTTGGCACAAGTGGTATAACACTTCATTTAGACACTTCGGTCAGAATGAATTTTTTTTTGACAAAGTAGCATTAAAACTTAGAGAGCTTCAAATACAGTGTTCTCTTTCACATTTTATATGTGAAAAAAAAGAGGTTGAAAAGATGTCTTTTTATCATAAAGATGTCTATAAAAACACTTTTCCCGGCGAATTAGTAGTTGTATTTTTACATTTAGGCTCAACACATGATTTCCTAGTATTTGGATTGGACATTTTTAAAAGTATTTAGGTAAAATTTCGACGGCACGGGCGCGCGACTGCGAGCGGACTATGTGAGCCAGACTGAGCGTGTTGTGCAATGACGTCACACCGTCACCGGCAGCCCGCGTCGTGCGGTTACAACTTGTTTTACTTCTAAATCGGAAACTAATTGTCGTATCGAAGTAATTCTTTCAGTAGTATTTTTTATTTTTGACAAAGAATATGGAGTGCTAATAAAAAAAAAATTGTTAACATTCTTCATTCAGCGCTCTGCTTTTTGTTCTTGATTCCAAACTTGAAATCAGATGAATCGAGTCAATTGAAGTTACGTGCAATATAAGTTGGCCCATCACTAATGTTGACGTATAAACTAAACATCGTTCCTTTACACGTAACACAATAAATAACTTAAACTTACGATTCAAATAAAATAAAATAATTTTGAAAGTTAGATATTATAAGAAACACGAAACGATATTTATTAATTTTCGATACTCAATTTACTATTATAACGTCATTATCAAAATTTGAATGAATATCATAGATCGTTAGTGACATCTAGTTTGATTTCAAGGACTTTTTTAAATACTTCATCATTGCTATAGTTTTATATTATGACAATAAATATATTTTATTAACAAAGAAATTTACAATTGTATCGTTGCTGTAACTTTGAAAAAATTAATGATAATGTGTTTACTTCATTACAAGATTACTTAGAAGTTAAGACTGAGAGATGTCAAATGTGGTCTAATAAAATAACCCAACTGTTGAGATCTACAGTTACGTCAATTTCTGCAGATTATGGCGTATACACATTGATGTATCATGTGGTGGCGTTTTTGTTGTATATTACATGTTATATAAATGTATTAACCGTATATATTTTAATATTAAATATATGAAATGAAAACGATATGCTTCTGGCGCTCTCCACATCACAACATAAAAGAGGAGTGTGTTTTGCTATTTGGCCGTATGGGCCAGATCCTTTTCTCTTTAGCAACGAAAAGCAAAGTCAAAACAGTTTAAAAATGTTCAGTTCTCTAAAATTTGTTGCGAGTCGTGTTGCTGTGCGTTTTGGTAATTATTTTCAAGGTAAATCCTTTCCCATATCGGCCTTTGTATTCATAGTGAAAATTGAGTATAAGAAAATTGAATCATTTCAAAAAGTCGGGTTAATGTTTCTTGAATCTGATACACTATTGAGTATTATTCTATTATAGGTTCCGCAACAAAAATGGGAAGTTCATTTTCAAGATCTTATGCTCCGAATAGCTGTGGTAATAGGGGGATTTCTGAATCAAGTAAGTTGTATTCTGATGTATTATATATCTTAAAACATTTTCATTATCATAATGTAGTCTCGTAACAATTAGTTATCAAAATTCTTACTTTTTTAAATATACAATAAAAATATAAATTAAACTAAATGTGAACTATATTTAATTTATAATGTTATAAATGAAATGTGGATGAAGTTACTGGTAAATATAGCTATTAAATAATCTTATAATGTTTTATATTATATTTAATCAACACCCATGTTAATAAGCTTTATAGAACTAATAAAATACAATAAACTGTATTATTTAAATTAGTTATAATTATGTTTAAGTAAATGAGTTTCTCAAGAAGTCTGAAGACTGGTGAATAGAAATTCTGCAAAAGTTTGATGTATGTACAATCATTAATAGGCAGGTTGCATTACAGGGGGTACTGGATAGAAAGATTACCGCAGGTCCACTGTAATACCATTTTAGTAAAAAATATAATTTATGAATTTTGAATTAGAAATATGTTTTGAAGTTTTTTTTTCATCTACAATCAGATTAAATAACAGTAGCAGATAATTTTCAAATATAAAATAAACACTTTACTTTTAACAGGTGGGACAGGTACAATATCACGTATGGACTCTACAAGTAACTATGTGGAGTCAGTGGTATGTAGTGAAAATGACCTAAAAGACAATGAAATGAAGGTTTTTGAAGTTGGAGAATCTGGAAAAGTACTTCTCATTAAACAAAAAGGAGAATTTAGTGCAGTTGGAACAAAATGTACACACTATGGAGCTCCATTGGTATCTGGAGCATTGGGTGATGGTCGAGTGAGATGTCCTTGGCATGGAGCATGCTTTAATATCAAGACTGGGGATATTGAGGATTTTCCTGGGTTTGACTCCTTACCATGTTATCAAGTTACAGTTAGTGAAAAGGGTGAAGTAAAGGTAAGTTGATATGTAAGTATTCTATTAGAAAAACAAAAAAATATATTACCAGGGTAATATTTAACATACATTTATTTTATATTATTGTCTCTGTATTACATTTCATAATCAACAAAAATTCTGTAAAAATTTTAAATGCCAGTTTTATTTTTTTATTTACTAAGGAAAGTTTATAGTTTAGTTGCTGTATTTGAAAGTTGTTGTGTTGAGTTGTGTTAATTTACACTGGTAGGTAGGTAAATAAAAATATGAAAGTATGAGAAATTTATTATGTTCAAATCTTGTAAAATGTATGATTCATAAAAATCAACTCATAATTTTTTTTATATCTCCACCTAGGTCTCTTTTTTAAACCTTTTGAAACCATTTATTGTTGTAAACAGTGACGGTTAAATTATGGGAACAAAAAGTGGGTTGAAGTCTAAATAATCTTTATTCAAACAGATCTTTTTAAAAGTACTTTTGTATCGACCAAAATTTGAGTGATAAGGAGAACAAGCAACAAACTCACTAGCTTTAATGAGATTAACAACAGGCTTACACTTATCAAAATACCAAATTTCATGAGAATCCGTTCAGTAGTTTTTGTATGAAAGAGTAAAAAACATACAACCAACATCCTCACAAACTTTCATGTTTATCTTCCATGTGATCCCTAGCAAAACGTTTAATGGGATTAAAAGTACATGACATGATATAATTTTAAGGCAAAAATATGTTTTTTTTTATTAATTTGTTATTTGTGTATACATTTTCAAATTAAATCAAAGTTTTGTCAAAAATTGCTAATTTTCAAACAGTACTTGTACTGAATACCTTATTGTATAAACATATGTTCAACTTAATTATGTTACCACATGTAAAACATGTTAGTCCCTGTGTTTCTGTTCAACATCAGTTTACAATTTTAAATTTTTATAGAGTACAATCATTTACAACCAACCATCACCATATCACAAATATGTTTTGTTGCTTTCGATGCAGCATTAGCCCAAATAGAAATATTTCAACATCACATTTTTTGAGGCTTCTATCAATAATTGTTGCTCTCTTTGATATTAGGAACATTCCATTAACATATGTTGCACTGCATAATATGGTGTTTGCTATATTCATGGTTTGGAAAATTAATACATTGTAAAAGTTGTCGTAGGAAATCGTAGACAGAAGACTATAAATTACGTAGCAATGATTCACATAATGTGTGAGACAGTTTTCGTAAATCAATGAGGCAAGGATATGCTCAAGGTCGATTGTAGAATTGTCATCAGACTAGCGATACCTACAGGTATTTCAATTATCCCTAATTATTTAAAATGAAATAATACTCATCTAAGAGTAATTCAACGAAATTATGTGGATATACCAAGATACGATTCGATATTCCTAGCTAGGCCTGTTAAATCGGACCTAAATATTAATTACTTTTGATAATTGTTGCAAGGTTATTTTGTTTTTAGCCGTAACATTCGTCGCATAAAGACTTAGGTAATACATAATGTAAAAAGCGGCCGGCCTTGAGTCACCTTGACCAAACTAAACGTGCAACTCAACGGTGACTCAGATATACTTTATAGTTTTAATATATACAACGGACTGGACTGGACCATAATTAGTTTTTTATCGAATATTACTATTGTACCCATTTTACGATCGAGTCAATCAGTTAAGGGATTGATTCCATCTTACTATTTTTTTTTTCATTTCAAATTGATTTTCCATACTAATATTATTTGATCGTTTGTTTATGTCCAGTAGGCTCCGAAACTACTGGATCGCATTAAAAAATTCTAACAGCTAATATTAAGATTAGGTCTCAAAGATTTTTTTAAGAAACACGTCTATAAATTTTATACCGTAGGTACGATATTAAACTTTGCGCGGAAACTAAATAATAAAAAATAAATATAACTGAAAATTAATGCTATCGTTATAGGCGGTTAGAATATATTATTAAAGTCGATAGTATTTTTTTTAATAAATCGCTTCTGGCATCTAGTGATGATAACGTAAACTTATGATGGTCCCACATGGACTCACCTAGAGCTATTCTCCAGGCATCTAGTTTCCAGAAGTATCTTAGAAAGGAAAGGATATTTTGTTAATTTGTAACAAATCTGCGATATAAACATGGTCCTTCTCCCTATTCGATTTAATCCTATCCATAGAAAAGGCCTATACCAGCAATGGGGACATTAATAGCTTGATGATGATACACAGCATCATATTACGCTAATATAAAAGGTGAAACTTGATTATTTTAAAACTTTACTATTCATAAATTAGTCCTAAATATTGATTGACGAACTTTTTATGATTTTTATAGTAAACTGACGAGCTGTCGTCTTCGTCTACGTTCCAATTTCACTAAAGCACTATTATTAGTCATATTTTATAAGTAAAAATATAAGCTTATTAACACACACATAATCTTTTTATATTGTTGTAGGTACAGATAAACTAGGTAGCTCGTGATTACTCATGTCAATCGTCATCGCTTTATTCATGGCATAACTAACTAGCTATGCCATACCGTGTGTCTGAAAACATAAAATAGTGTGTTATAACCACCTGTTTGTATTATTGGGTAGATTTTTCCTTATCATCGCACATGTATGTTCTCTTTTAATACAGTGGTTTTCTCAGCCTACCTAATTGTTATTATACAATAAATGAATATCAAATAAAAAGCCCTGTAACTTTTGTGTTTAACGCTCAGCTACTGCCCTAGGATTCTTAACTCGTGATATAAAAACCGTAAAGCAAACGTTTGTCTGGTAATTATGAGATTTGTCTGAGAGGTCACGTAACGTTCTTGGACATGCAGTCTCGACGTCAGTTTGCGATTTTAATTTTACTTAATTCGGCCAGAAACTCATATCGAATGTGTTTTAACGATTGTTGTGTAGAAACTTTTAATAATCTTCAAAGTACGGCCGCTATGAGTTAGTAACCGAATTCAGTTAAATTGTGAATGCAAAATCTATCCAGACTGCATCTTAGTTAAATCTAATATTTAAGTTTAGCTTTTAAAGAATCCTTGAGCTTAAACCAAAATTTAACTTATTGTGGTTACATATTCAATGTCATAAAAAAACACTTTGTTGTTCATTTCAGGTGCGCGCAAAGATAAGCGATTTGAAATCAAATAAGCGTATTAAAGATATAGGTGGAGCGGCAGCAGTATGCGAAGGAGCCTCTGTCGTGATTGTTGGCGGTGGTCCGTCAGGCGCTACCTGTGCGGAGACCCTACGCAGTGAAGGCTACCAGGGTCGTATCACTGTAGTCTCTAAGGAGCCTTATTTACCTTATGACAGGACCAAAGTCTCCAAAATTGGCGCTATATCTAATATAGAAAATCTCCAAGCCAGATCGCAAGAATACTACCAGAACGCAAAAATTGATATCCTTAGAAATATTGATGCCACAAAAGTCGAACCGCAGGAGAAATTAGTACATCTCAGTGACGGCACTAAACTACGCTACAGTGCTCTGTATCTAGCGACCGGATCTCAGCCTCGGAAACCGGATATTCCTGGAATTAATCTTCAAAATATTTTCACTGTAAGGGACTATGATGATAATAAGAATATACTAAATACTATAGGCGAGAATAAGGATAAGGACGTAGTCGTCCTTGGACTAAGCTTCATCGGATTAGAGACTGCTTCATCTTGTAACGAAAAGGCCAAATCGATGACTGTCGTCGGTAAAGACTTTGCTCCTTTAGGACAAATATTTGGGAGGGAAATTGGTCAAAGCCTCACGAAGTTATATGAAGAAAAAGGAGTCAAGTTTCAATTTGAAACCACCATTTCGAAATGCATCGGTGAGAACGGCATGATAAAATCGGTGGAGCTCGATAACGGAACCACGCTGCCAGCTGATATTCTAATTTTGGGCGTGGGAACTACATTCTATACGAATTTCCTACGTGATAGCGGTATTGAATTGTTACCCAATGGTGCGGTTAATGTAAACGATAGATTGGAGACAAACATTAAAAATATCTACGCAGGTGGCGACATCGCAAACGCCCCAGTTTTTGCACACAATAACAAACCCATGAGCATCGGCCACATTGGACTCTCACAGTATCACGGACGCATTGCCGCATTAAACATTTTGAGGAAAGACATCCAACTGAAAACGGTACCTTATTTCTGGACGACAGTATTCGGAAAGTCCATTCGTTATACAGGCTGTGGCAAAGCTGCTAGTACTTTAGTGGATGGTGATGTAGACTCTCTTAAATTTGTCATCTTTTTCTTTGATGAATCAGATAAAGTTATTGCTGTTGCTTCTTGTATGAGAGATCCAGTTGTATCTCAGTTTGCTGAGTTTCTTTACCAGGGTAAAACCCTCCATAGAAAAGATTTGAAACCTGATGATCTGTATGCATGGACGAAAAATATTAATTGAGTTATTACACACAATCATGGCACGTCACTAAAGTACAATAGCGCATAATCACTTCACGCACACGAAATGTGGTTCTGCAACTAATTTAGTACTAAATTATTATATTTTAGATTAAAAATTGATTGGAGAAATTAGAAAGTTATTATAAACAGACTTAAAATTGTTCAATTGCACAGTCAACTATACATAACTCAATTTTCCTAATCGATTTTAAACCTTGTAGAGGTCAAAATCCATAGTAGTTAAACATATTGTGGTAACTTGACGTGCAGCCGTGTGTACCATAACAGCCATTTTAGAATTTTCGTTAAAAGTGTTTAACTTAATGACAGGGATTTTAAGAGTATTAACTTTTTCTCACTAGGCAGTGCCAGTTTGGGGTCTCAAGTTAAGCGCCAAACAAATTGGCGTTATTTAGAGACATAAATCAGTCATTTGGTTTAATTTTAAGAATATTTTTTTTTTTAATAAATAAAACAATAATTTATTAGAGAAATAGATTTGCAAAATAGATGGGTAAAAGACATATTAAATAGAGAGATAATTAAATTCTTCTATGGTTTAACCAATGTCCAGTTGCATTGTTTATTTGTGTTCATTATGTAGATCCAACTCATTTTTTAATTTATGTCTTTTACAAATAACAAAGAAATTATGTAACTAAATGACTGCCGACATAATTGGCACCATATACTTTTAGCTTTTCAGATCAGTTGTCTTTAATAGCAAGTTTGTTCTTCGGTCAATTAGTGATGCCTCTGTAGTCAAATCCTTAACTAAATTTTTCAGTGTTAATCAATTAAAACTTTAACACAATTATTTAATTTAATAATGGCCTGTGGTTAGACTCAAAATGATTATGATGAAATGATTGTTTATAAAAAATTAATCCCCAATTAACGCATTAAAATCGTTTAACGTGTTGTTTTTGGTAAATCCATGTAGAAAGATAGAATTGGTAATTCAAATTGTTTGGTTGAATGAATGTACTTAAATCTTGTAATGGTGTCCTATGTGAAGTTGGCAGTATTGTGGTGACGCAAAATGCATTTAAAGTTAAGAAGAAGAAGATCAGTTGTCATTGGTACAAATGTAAAATCTAACAATATTCACTATAGTTAAGTACATAAAGCGGATGTCGGGTTACTATAAAATGTTAAATTATCACACTTTATTTTAACTATATCTTGTTGGTAACCTGCTGTTGCCTTATATTGACTTCAATACATGTCTAATCATATTATACAAAAATGTTTAGTAGATAGTAGAACTTTAATGTGTTTAAGATTAAGTTTAATATTAATATTAACTCATAACATATTATGAAGTTTAATAAAATAAATTTTTAAAATTGTTAGTGTTGTACCTGTAGTTCAACACTCAAAAGTGATAATAATGAGTGAAGTGTAATTATGAAAATTTGTTACTTTATCTTATTTTTATAACAACTTCTTGTTCTTACTAACCAGAAACTAAATTTGTAATAATGAATACTTCAGTGCATAGCATTTATTAAAATTTTAAAAAGAGTATTTACATGTTATGTTGAATGTAATTTTGATAGTCTATTTTATGATGTAGATTTCATAATAAAGCTCCAATACTAACTTTTAGAGAATAAGCAGTATTCCTGTGATTAATGGCTTGTTTGATGTTTATCTATCATAAAAAAATGTAATATATTACATTGCTTATAAGCTAAAGGACCACAAATCAAAATTTTGCAAAAATCAATTCATTAAAAAGTCTGCCTAAAGCTGGTGATATTTTCTTTTTCACATATCTACATATTTTTGTGAAATAAGAAAATAAGGATGACTTTAGGCACATGTGTTAATAATTGAGTTTGACCATTTAGTTTATAAGCAGCGATTTGTTGTCTGTATTTATCAATTATTGTTGTTTGTTTCATTTTGCTTAATCTATACGAAGCTATATTGTATTGAATGTGAATTATAAACACTGTAGTGTCTTATCTTAAAGGTGCACTAAGAAAATTAAACAAACATATTCAGTATTACATACATTTTTGCAGACGTTCAAAATGTACTTAAAATTTGTGGCTATTGAAAATATTTATTTATATAGATGGCGAGTTGTCAATGTTTGTAAGTAAGGTTTCTAAGTATTCACATATAAAGGAGACATATTTTTAAGTGTATGTCATATATTTAAAGCTTGTTGAATAAACACATAATAAAGAAGATAATCTTATTTATATTCATCTACTTTTACTAAACTAAGTGCTTTGATACGATTTTCAATCCCATCCTTCGGAAACTCTTAAATGTCCAAGCCTCTCATATAATGTAACATCATGTTTGAAGATTCTTCTCGTTTCATTTTCGAATACAGCTTTCCTCTTGTCCGCTTTACCGAGTGCTTTTGCGTGACCAGAACTTTCAGCCTGAACAAAAATATTAGTATTAAAATGGATACGGCCTTTGTCATAACGATACCAAAGAATAAGTGCTCATTTATCTTATATTGATTTATTACCTCCGTAAGATATGGGTGTCTCAAAAAAAACATGTTTTGTTCTTCAACAGCAAAATCTTTCTGGATTTTTCGCAAGTCTTTCGGAAATACTTGTTTAACAAGGCGATCTTTACCTCTGAATATGTGACCATTGGGCATGAGATTTCGGCGACAAAGCACTTGATATATTTTCATGATTAAGGTTTAATTTTAATGAAAGGTAGTGAAAATCCTAATAAACTTTAGCTAAATCGCTTTTTATTTAACTACCTTTAAATAAAAATAAAAGCTGAAAGAGACCGAACGGAATCCACAGACCAAGAGGAAGATTATTTTTGACAAATGACACTGACAGTTGACTGTTGTCTGGTTGGTAAGATAAATCAGAAAACACTAATATCGATATCGAAGAATAACTGATCTTCACATGTGATGTGACGTTTGTTAACGACTAAACAGTCATTGACGTTAGATAATAATAGATACAACTATTATGTTAATAAATGCAAGTAATGCACTTAAAAACATATACCAATATATGAACTCAGCTTAGTAACAGGTCATGACCTTATGACCCCAGCCTCTAATCTGTGAGCTGGGATAATTTTAGTCCCACATGGAAAAACCCTTATCTGTGAGTAGAGATGGCCGTTTAAACGAAAAGCACTTAATTAAGCATGCTTTTCTAAATAAGTGCAAAAGCGCTTTTTCACTTAGAAGAAAGGTACATCGTACGTACGTCCCGCCATCTATCGAGATAAAACTACTAGCTTCAATCTATTTTTATGTTTCTGCATTTTTCTATAAGAGGGCAGCACTTTACATAAATGCACTGTATTATACTATTACGCGTGATATCCAACTATACTCCATTCATTATAGCATTAGACAGAAGTGAAATAAGGTTCTTTTTATGGTATACTTTGTGACAAAATATCAATAATCATGTTACTTTTAAGAGTGACGGCTAATTTGTTACATATTCACTTAAATATCAGCTGCTATACTTAACTGTTGTCATTTAAGCTAACTATTAAACAAATTTATGAGTATATGACTAACTTAAATGATTTAATAAGTATTACAATAAAAAGTGTCCATCCTAAAGAACCTAAAGAAGCAGGGTTGGATAGTTTCGGCACGATTCTCATGTCACTATAACTCTACCAAATTTAAAACGTTGCCTAACCCCTTCAATCGTTTCGGTAGTACAGCTTTTTAATTTTTTCAGACTATTATTTGTTCATAATTGTTAAAATCCTAATCTGGGATTGTCATCCGTTGTGAATGCTACTGCCTTTCTTGTTGTTTAGCCGTTTTCCGTGATGTAATTGTTTTATTTTTGTTGTTAAGTTTTGGTATTTACCAAAACTTAACAACAAAAATACCGGCATCGTCCATATTTATGGACGATGCCGGTACAGGGCCCGATTGGCCTACAAAAATTACGCTCTAAGCCCCCATACCTACCCTCAAACTTTGACATTTCAGGGAGTTTTTCCAATGTCTTCATCAATAGTCTAACTTTTACACTTACAATTAGAATTTATCAAAACACACAGATAGTTTCAGTTTTAGTTCCATGTTGGCTTGGGACTAAAAGATGAATTTATAAAATGCTGGCCTCATCTCAACCCCGAGGTATCATAAAAAATGGAAAATTGCCCAGCTCTTTCAGACTATCTAATGTTCAAAGTTTCAACAAAACTAATATAGATTTTTTAAATTTATCTTGAAAATAAAATGTTCTGCACTGCTGCTTCTACGACCCTCTTTTTTCTAATGTTATAGTGAATGGAGTATAGACTTTTTGCAACACCTTTTTTGGTTGGTTAATCCAAACGCTTTTTTAAACGGAACTTATACTTAAAAAAGCAGTACGCTTTTCGTTGTTGAATTAAGAGCACGTTGTGTTGAATGTTAATTAATTGCGTTGTATGCGTAAATAAATTGCTACTTAAGTAATGACTTTTGTTTATTCCTAAATAAACAATGTAAATAACTATGTTATGAGGTGATGGTGTAAATATATAAAATATTATTGAACTGCATTAGTTTTAAGATTGTGTAAATAAAATGTCGAGAAACGGTCGAGTATTTTAGTCTTGTATTATACATAAAACCTTCCTTTTGAATCACCCTATCTATGAAAAAGAAAACCGCATCAAAATCCGTTACGTAGTTTTAAAGATTTAAGCAACACAAGACCACAAAAATAGCAACTGTTTTATACTATGTAGTATTGTAGTTAAAACACAATGTTGCACGCTTATTATAACGATTTAAAAATGAAAAAAAAGCATTTAAGCAATAAGCAGTTTTAAAAAACGCTTATTAAAAATCGTACAACGTAACAACACTTAAAAATTTTAAGCAGTTATTTCCACCTCTACGCTCTTTTTAAATTACAGGCGTTTTCCTTAATTCTTGGATTTTTTAAAAAGCTTAGTAAATGATTCTTTCTTTCTGTATTTCTTTTTGGCAGTTCTTATCAGCAGAAGCGGCAAAGTATTTTGTTATCTGTAAATTACTATAAAGTACTCGATACCTACAGGCATCGATATTTTACGTATCTTTCTAACATTGCTTTGACATGACAGTTGATGACGTCACAGGCTAGTAAATAGAATCATTATTGGTTGTGACGACCACCAATCATAAGACGTTTACGTCGTTGAATAAATTCCTAAAACTTGCATTTTCTTTACGTTATTTTACTAAATCTAAATATATTCTTTCTGCAGATGATAAGAAATAAGCTTTATTAGATTATTATCTATCAGGATGATCACAAAATGCAACTTATTTTCGATAGTGTTAAATACCCTATTCTGCGCTCCGCTTTTTAATCTTCATTCCAAACTTGAATTCGGATGAAAGTTACGAGCAAACAATAAGTTGGCTTATCACTAATGTTGACGTATAAACCAAACATCGTTCCTTTACACGTAACTTAATAAATAACTTAAACTTACGTTTCATATAAATCAAAATTAATTTGAAAGTTAGATATTATAAAAAAACACGCAACGATGTCATATTTATTAATTTTCGATATTTAATTTGCTTTTATTACGTCAGAAACAAAATTTAAATGAATATCATTGACAATATCCAAACATCGAGAGTGACATCTAGTATGATTTCAAGAATTAATTTTATTTTTTAAATACTTCCTCATTTGATGTTTATATTGTTATAATTTTATTATTATTTAAAAATATATTTCAATGTCATTATACATACATCTTCTATACTGAATATTAAAAAAAAATATATGGCCAGTGATATTCGGGATGATATACGGTTTCTAATGATACAATACCCTATATATTTATATCCGTTGAGTCTTTCAAAAGTTTTGGTGGAATAAAGAAAGTCACAAACATACTATAGGTATTAACCCTAAACACAATACACTCCTTTTTTGGGTAGGCGTGTAAAAAAAGAGAAATCTAGGACCCAGGAAAACAATGAGGTAAATAGCCGTCAGCTCCATGACTGCTATGCTCATTGTCTATGACAGTATGGCTGTCGATGTCGATTGCTGTCGATCGGGCGAGCGTATCCATGATCTTGAAACTCTGTAAATAATAAAAAGGAGGTTTATAAATTATAAGGCGTGCTTCTATTTAATGAGTATGGAATCAAATAGCTGAAAATTTTATGCTACTTGGGGGCGTCCCTGCTTTAGGTAAGTCACAATATTTTTAATAATACGCCTGTTCTAGTCTAACAACTAGGTCCCTTCAATCTAAATTAACTTATTAAATTTGCCGAATATTATTATCAGGAATTGGGAAACAAATCTTCGCCTAGCAATAAGCAGGTAGGCGGTTAGTGAAAATATTATCCGTCGTGCGATGAATTCATTTTGGTGCCCTTTCACTTTATTGTCTACATTATTTTCGTGCTCTACTTATTTCGAACTTAGATTTTGTCTAAACGATTGTTGTGGTGGACAGTTAGAAACTGGAATATGATTACTAGTTCGTTCATTTCAATGAAATGATATGATAATGCACTTTCCAAATCAGAGGTATATACTATGTTATGAATGTAACTTAATTAGTAAATTTAAAATATTATAGGTCAATATCTAAACTATTTAAGTTTGTGATTTTGTAATGTTTTCTTGGTTAAATATTTAATTTATAAATATAGCAGTAGTAGCTTTTCTTAATGTAAATTACATATTGAGTTACATATCTGGTTAAAGAACAGCAATAATTCATAAAATCGTAAAATCTACTCTGTATTGTATTTATTATTATTTGTTCTAACAATAATTTATGGATAATTTAATAAAAAAAGCTGTAAATAATTAAAGTTTTATAAATTAAGATGCTTCTTTTACACAGGAATTTCTTTTGTTTTGCTTCATTTATTATCAAGCTATAATGTTTATTTTGATGCTTCTCTAGTAAAGATGGGCTGCCTTTTTATTCTTTATTTAGTAACTTTTTGACATCACCAAAAGGCATAAAATGCCCTCTGCTGAGCATAAATCTCCCTCTTTAAACTCAAAAATGACTGGTCCTCTGCTGCCTGCATCTAGTGACTTCCCACAATCTTTAACTTTTTTGACATAAAGCTTTACAAATATTTTTTTAAACAATTAACATGAAGTTGACCATTTAAAAATGACAAGTTTTATATACCTATGTACTGTTTAAAAAACAGTGTAATTATGGGACTCCTATTAGGTCCTGGGTAGCTCAGAGGCTAGAGTAGTCACCCAATTATGAAAGGTTATGGGTTCGAGTCCCATCTCAGAGTGCCAGGGACAATTGGATATTTTAAGCATTTTTCATTAAGAATATTTTTTATTATAGCATTGTGAATGCAAAATTGATCAAATACAATAATTATAACAAATTTTCATCTTAATTGAAAGTTACAGTAGAACCTCGATAAGTTAAAGTCCAAGGGAAACACAAAATATTTTAAGTTATAGAGGTTTTATAGAGGTAGGCATGTATAATAATAATAAGGTTTATTAAACACCAAAGATGGAATTTGCAATCATAAATTGAACACTGTTTCCCACACTAGGATTCCCTGGGTTGTAGGAGTATGTATGTACCATTGTTCCTATTTTTACTCAAATGCATTAGAAGGACTGGTTCAATAAATTATTCACATATTTATTCACATTGCACACCTTAAATTAAATTAAAACAACAATTAAGTCTACTTAAAAAAGTCTGTGATTTTTTTTTGTTTTAAACAATTCTAAACCGATTTAAAGAATTTCGAAAAAGCAAACAATAGTGTGATATATGTATTTTAGGAAGTGACAATGTATTTTTTACATTAACAATTTAACTAATGTACACGTGCAAGCAATAAATACTGAAACTTTTTGCTTTGCACACTCTTTCAAAATGACTCATTGACAAACAATTTTATGTTATACGAGGTTGTGGAAGCATTTCTTTAAGTTATTGAGGTTTCGGGCTTTGATGGGAAGGGAACATATTATTTTTTGAAGTTATAGAGGTTTTTAAGTTACCGAGGTTTGAGTTATCAAGGTTCTACTGTATTTCTTTCGGCTGTTTGAGTGGATAGCCTGAATGTTGATGGAAATGCGCTCTGTAGTAGTGAAAAACGCAAGAAGTGCTTGAAAAGTCAGATTGTGAAAGGTCGTGGGTTCGAGCCCGATCTCAAAGTGCCAAGGACAAAGTAGATTTTTTCATTAAGAAACTTTATGTATTTTTATTTTTTGCTTTTTGGTTTAATCTCATTCTATTAATTTCAGACATTGCATCTGTATTGCAAGGTGTTTTTCCTGTTCAATTTAAATGTTGTTGTTCTCATAAAGACAGAACTAATGTGCCCAAACACGATGCAGTTGCAACATTTCGACACTAAGTTACTATGACACTTTTGCCATGTCATAGGTAGTTTATTGATCTCCTTACAAAAAAAACCATTTGGACGGTAATCAATAAAATCTTTGTAGGCAATTTGCACTGCCCCATCGGAGTTAAATTTTTTCCCTTCCCTTACCCAAAGGGAATTGTTCAGTTTGTATGGGCACTTTGGCTTTGAGTGGACATTGTCTACAGTTATAAAAAACGTTATTTTTCAATATTTCATATCTTAAGGAAAGTAACTATTATAATATTTTCACGGGAAAGTTTAATATTGTATATATATAAGCATGTGTAGTATTCCATAAACGGTGTACAGAAAAACTTATATTTTGTAAAATACTTTAATGAGAAGCAGAGATAGTTAAATAAAGAAATTGTAGATTTACACATATTTACCTTTAATTTGACAATACAATTGTACAAGAAAAAGACAGTACTTCTAAATACACTTATTTATAAGAATAGACTTTACATAATCACTTAATAAATACGTTACACTGCTCATACAGTTTGTCTTCAGCTGGAGGCTGGCATTTGATGGTCAAAAAAGCAGCTACATTTATATAAGTTGGTCACATGAAGTCCTTATCGTTAAATCTTCCATGGCCTCTCCTGATATGTGCTTGCAGTCAAACAAAACTATTCTCATAATTTGTGCTCGCCCTCAAGAACAACTCTTCAGCTTGGAGTGGCTGTGGACTCACATTTGCGTCTGGGCCTATTAACAGAAAGAACTATTTTAAAACACCTATCCAGTACATTTGTACATTCCTCCAAAAAAATAAATTAACATTAAATGTTGAACTACAGGTACAGTATTCCCACCCCTTCGCACATGTAAATAGTAGCCTATATCATCCTGATGAAAGATGTAGCTTCCCTTAAGTAAAAGGACTTTTTACATCAGTCAGAGTTTGTAAATAAGCTTAACTAACAAACAAATCCTTCTAGAAGTAAGGATAAGAGGCACAAAGCTCATAAACTAGTTTCACTATTTTTACAATAATAAGGCAAAAATAATAAACAGTTTTACCTGATGCAATGTGGGAACGGTCAGTCGCTGTGGTGAGTCGCAACCAGGAACAAAACAATATACTTGTGAATCAGGTGCTTTTTTATAATCCGTTAAAGTAATGGTCTGTATAGGTTCCGGAATATTATATCTGCTTGCTGCTAGCATGGATGACAGACTCGATCAGATCCATACACCTAAAAAAGCATAATATAATATAAAATTATTTGTCAACAAAATGTTACTTAAACGATATGGCAGCGATATATTAATGTTTTACTTGTCATAAAGGAAGCTTAATTATGGTGAAGTAATCATAATAAATAAAAATAACTTTAATCCTACCTGTCGTGGGGATATCCAATCAATAATTATTTTTGTAATGTGTTTCTTTGACGGATATTTTTTGCAGTAAATGTGATCTAGTACGTAATATAGATCTTTCACAATTTATACAAAGCTGCCGACGATGTCCACTACTTGTGCTTGGTTCGGTGTCCATAGGTATAGCCGGGTCAACATTTCGAGAGGTTAATAAATAAATTGGTCTTCTTCTTCTTCTTCTTAACTTTAATGGCACTTTGCGTCACCACATAACTGCCAACTTCACGTAGGTAAATTGGTCGAAAGTAACAACAAAAGCAAAACATAAGAATTATCATTTATCACTCAAATGTCTTTGTTGACAAAGTGAAATGGTGCTGCCATATAAAAATTATTAATCAATCAAAAAGTAATCGATGGTTTGTGTAAATTAAATTATATATCTAACCGAAAAGGATTATTTCATATGTTTTTAATATACATGATACATGATATTGCAAAAGATTACCTAATGTATATGTATGAATATATAAATACTTTAATTACTTTCATTTTTATTAAATACTGTTAGTAATAGTACTTCAATAACATTTATTGATATGGAAACACAGTAAAACATGTTAACAAAACACATCCGAATCCAAAAAATACTTTTAAATGTGATATTTTTAATGTTTAGTTTCCCATGACGAGAGCATTAAAAATATTTTTTTCAATTTTAATAATATTTTGCTGTATACATGGTTTTTACTAATAAGCTTGTCCACGAAAAGCCAAAATTGAACAATTCCCTTTCGAAAAAAATGGTAATCTGTTGGAGCAGGGTCCGGGGAATATGATGGATGTCTTAGATATTCCAATTGAAGCTCTTCTAAGTTGGTAGCCGTCTGTTGTACAGTGTATAGTCTAGCGTTGTCGTGAAGTAGCGGTGGCGTAGAGCGATTGACCAGCCTCGGTTGTTTAACAGCTAGTTTTCCAGTATGGTTTGCAATTGCTAATTGAGGTGCTATAACAACTATAACAAACAAAATGATCGAGTGTGCACACAGCTCTTAAGAAGCTTCCGAGGTAGTGGCCATGGTTTGGTGGGGTGTCTCTTACCAAGGCGTTATAAAACTCCCTTTTTTGCGAAAAAGGAGTGAAAACTTCAGCTATAGTGTATCAAGATACCGTGTTAGAGGCGGTAGTTAAACCTCTCAACAACACCTTATTCAAAAACGAATTGTGAACATTCCAATATGATTCAGCCACAGGTCATAGGGCGCACACTACCCAAATTTGGCTTGAGCAAAATGTTCCAGACTTCATAAAGGCTGATGATTGGTCTTCGGCTAGTCCGGACTTAAAACATTTGGACTATAAATTGTGGTCTGTGCTAGAGGACATGGCCCGCTCTAAGCGTCACCCAAATATTGAGTCGCTCAAGAAATCTTTGGAGGCAGCTGTGATCAAGTTTCCAGTGGAAACCGTTCGTAAATCCATCGACGAATGGCCCGACTGTTTAAAAGCGTGCGTTAAAGCTAAGGGTGGACACTTTGAATACATAATCACATATGAAACTTTAAAATAAAATATTTTTTTTAGAAATTATCGGATATTTTCTTGGTAACAGAACTTATGGCTAGACTAGGTATTCAAAACAAAAAAAAAAACATTTTGAACTAGTAGTTCCTATGATCATGGAGTTCAAACAAACAAACTCTTCAGCTTTATTATTGGTATAGATTAAATACTGTGACAAAACAGTGACAAGTTATTCAGTCAAATCAAACTTAGTATTATATTTATTATTTTGGAGCTCAGCTCTTTGATGACGTTAAAGAAGTTATTTCAAAGATTACACAATGTTGGATATTGATTTTTTATTTAAACTTCTTTTCACAAATAAAGCGTTCAAATGGCGGACTTAATGCCAGTAGATTAGTAAGGATTAAAAACATATGTTTTTCTCTTTTTGTATCTGCTATGCCGTCGTGGGGCCGTTTTTACCCACAGCTAATGAATATGTTTTCCGTCTTGTCATAACAAACACATTTGTTATGAATCTCATGTAACCTTATTGCCTTTATCCCACAGTTTGCTAATATATCATGTTCAATTGTTATTTCAAATAGTGGTAGTTTTGGTATTTAATGGAATTTTAAAATGTCTGCACAACTAGTCTCGATATGCTCATAGGAATTTGCATCGCAAAATACGTGTATATATTTGTGTTGTGACTAGTGATACTTATATGCGTGTACCTAATATTTTTATATTATGAACGCAGTATTATTAACCGAGCGCGAAACGCTGATTACTAAGAGCATAATTTAAAAGTTGACCATCGTTTTAGGCGAAGTCAAATCTCAGGGCCGGATTTAGGGAGGGACAAGTGGGGTACTTGCTTCAGGACCAGAGTTGTGGGGACGCTAAAACCATCGTAATATAAAGAGGTTAAAATTAAAGAATGTCCTTCACAAAAAAAATAATAATAATGAATCAGTGCAATGGGAAAAATAATTCATAACTGAATATTATATCTTCAGTTTAGGATGTTAGCAAACATTTAAAGCAACCAAATGTAAAGCAAGTTGATGTCAACCGCATTAGCCGTTTTGTCATATGATTTCTGCTACTATTTGGTTATAATTGAAAAGAATAAATGCAGACGTATTTACTGTATAAAATTTGCTTTCAGAACCCAGAGCCCTGTGTTTAATTCTATACGACACAGCAATAAACCCGCCCGGAGCGCTAGAGGGCAATCAAAATGGCGCAAGTTGGAGCTAACATGGAGTACCAGGAGTACAAGTGGGCTTATTCAATTATGGACTCTTCCAAGTGTGTATTTTTCTCATTTCTTTATATATTAAGTTTTTATATGGAGTAACTAAAAATTCTAAGATATCAAGTGGTTAACTAAACAGGTCTAGGTACCGATAGGTGAACTGCATATATTTTAATTGATATCTTTTTTCAATCGTGCATGTTTTCTTAAATCCTATGTGTTGTTATGTGTATGAGGGATTTCTGCATATAGTGCAACTTGTTCGTAGAAAAAAATTGAATTAGGTCCAGGTCCCTCTCCTGAAAGCGTCGAGTTGCATGTCACCATCGTTTTTATAAAGAACAGCTATTTGGTGATTCAATTTCGGAGCCGAACTGTTGCAATCACCGCGGCACTTGTGTTATGTTCTGCCTAGCACGCCGATGAATGCATCAATGTGCATCGGATATTAGTATATAACATCTTTTTCTGAAGGGATGATCAAATTATAACTTTTTTAATAAAATCTTTTATTGCATTTCATTCCATTATTCTATTAATGTGAGTTTCTCATGTTGAATGAAAATGATAATTAACCAAAGTAAGTATTGTTATTGTTTGGCATAAAAATCTTAACGCCAATTAAATTCACAATCCGACTTTATTTTTTTAATTAATAAAATTACAAAAATAAACCTATAGCAAATCTGAAACTTTAACGCCACTATTCATGTCACTATGGTCAACACTATTAGATCGTCCAGACAGTTCACTTCACTAGTTATCGTTTCCGATTGCTCTCGTATTCAGTTCACTAGTCACTGAAAGAATGCTGGGACGGGCAGTTCAAGTCAGAATTTTATGAACCAATTGATGATAAATGTTAAATGCTGACATACAAAACATTTATATTAGATATGGTTTGTTATGTAAAACTTTCTAAAAGGGTCAAAATACGCTGACTCTTGGGACCGTGTCATCCTGAGTCGGGGTCATCAATGCTAATTGGAGATCGTTTAAGTAATTATTACATCTCTGTTACCAGACGGGGACTGCTAATTAGCTATAAAGATGAATAGACGACAAACACTTCGACCAAGTGCATAGCAATTTATCGAACCTTATCAACTTTTTTGTTTGTTTATTATAGGACTTATTATAGCAGGATTTTGCGTCGGTGTTTTAGGCAGGGTTCGAAAGAAATTCGATCCGATTTTTGATTAGTATTTTCGATATTTTCCTTTTTTGCATAGTATTAATGAATTAATTGAACCTATTAAGCATTGGTCTTAATAAAAAAAATATACCACATTTTGAAATACAACTGGCGCCGTGTAGTGGTGGCTATAGAAACTAAGTAATTAATATATTTTCACGGATTTAGAGGACCTGATGGCCCATCATCCGTCGTTCTATTAAATCTTCATAACACAAGTATGTACTTCAGCTATTTGTGTTCAAACTTTTTATAGATTCATTTAGTAACTGAAATGTTTATATTGCCTTTTCATTAAGCGTCTAAGACAAACGTATCTAATAGCGAATATTTTGTGTAGGTTATAGGTCTTACAGCTAATGCTTAGATCAAACGATATAAGGAATTGTTCAATTAATAACTGAGCATAATTATTACTGCAGGGTGTCTGCGTGTTTGATTTCGATGCTGCTGATAGTGTATGGCAGTTTCCGATCGTTAAATATGGAGCGTGAGGCGCGAGAAAGAGCCGAGAAGGAGCGCGAGGCGTCTCTCTTGGGCGGGAAACCGCCTACCACATCCTCATCCAACAATAGTGAGTATTGCATATTAATGCTTTCAGGCAAACCTGAAGGCCTACTCTGTTTCTTCTAAACCGAAATTTCTCTATTTTCGAAACGCTTATACGACTCTAAAGGAACGCATTTTTCGTTTAATTTATTAGGCAACGGAGTAGCGGTGTGTCGTACCATACCGTTTATTTTGTGTTAGGTTTTCGCATTAAAATTTTTTTTCTTTGATCTTTAACATTATTTCTTTTTTATTATTCATTTTTCGTAATTTGTAATTTTAAGTAACGCGATATGCTCTTTCTGAATGTCAGTTCGTGAACTATTCATCCAGTGAGCATTGTTAGAATTGTGCGAAATGCGCCGTAAATAAAAAAAGGAGAAAAGCAATGATGTTATTTTAATATTAGACATTTCATACCCGTATATTATTACGTTTTAAATCGGCTTAAACTTTATTGTGGTAGCGTTACATTATCATATAATTACAAAGTGCGGGAAGAAATCAAAAATTAGTAATCTCTCTATTAGCATCATACAGCATACCTCTTGATAGAACGAGATAAACATATTTGTTTAGTGTTAGTGCATTACGTGTCAGCTCTAATCTCCCCTAGTCGTAGAGCACGATGGACGAAAAAATGCCCGCGTTCAAAAAAATGTTATTATTTTTATTAAAATAAAAAAGAGTAAGTATTTATAGTACCTACTTACGCATGAAGTTATATCTTTATTGCTTTTCTCTTTGTTATTGTCAATGTTGTGTTTCTTATATGTTGTGCGCAGATAATCCATCTAAAATTTTAATACATCATTGCCGGCGAGAACATTATTTATATTATATAAATTTTATCATCAGTATAGAAACATGTAAACGTATATGATAAACGTGAAATATCTAATAAGTGCTACACATAAAATAAAACCCAGAAAAGGGGCATGTATTTTTTTTTTTAAATTTAAGTAGCATCATAATTTTAGAAATTCTTACGAACTATTATTTATACCTTTTTTTGTATACCCTGTACCTATAAACCATCATTATTTTAGAAATTCATACGAACTGTTTTTTTGTTCTTTTTGTTGTTACATTTTTTTAATTACACCATGAATATACCTACTTATGAAGCCTAGTCAGTCGTTTCAATTACCATTTAATTTTAAGGAAGAATGTACATTATTATATTCTATATTAACCAAAAAAGTTGTAGAAGATTTATACTACTTTTTTTTTGTTAATATAAAATATACTAATAATCTGCCTGATTAACTAATTAACTGATTGCATCATGGGGATTCTTAATGTTTTCTTAAAAGTATAGGACGTGAAATATAAATAATCAGTCTTGAGAAAATCGAACATTAGAGGTAACACTACATAGTATAAAACAAAGTCGCTTTCTCTGCCTATATGTATGCTTAAATCTTTAAAACTACGCAACGGATGTTGAAGCGGTTTTTTTTTTCATAGATAAGATGATTCTAAAGGTTTTTATGTATAATACAAGAACACGCGGGTGAGGCCGCTGGCGGAAAGCTAGTATTTAATAAAATGTAATTTTGACTCTGGTATTTTGTTTCCAGATGTACAAACTCTGAACACAATGCAAGCGTTGTGTTTCCCGCTGGGCTCGTCGGTGGCGCTGCTTATCATGTTTTTCTTTTTCGATTCCATGCAGACTCTGGTCGCTATATGTACAGCCAGTAAGTTGTCACTCTTATTAAGTTCTGAAGTATTGAAAATTTCGACTGTGATTTTAGCGTAAAATGGATGACCATTTTACGCTAAAATCAATCCAAATATGAATTTGGAGTTCTTGATCTCTAAATTAAAAATATAAAAACAATTTTGACTTAGGGTATGTTCCGATATACACTGCGAGCACTGCGCAGTGGTCTTACTGCTGAAAAATCCGTTCCGTTATGGACTGCCAGTACACTGCTACAGTACCCTAGGGAAATTTATGACGTCATAAATTGCCGCCATATTTGTACTGTGAGCACTGGAGATTTCGAGGTAAGGTGCTCGCAGTGCTTTTGATCACGTGATCAGTCGAAACAGAATCAGAAAATGATAAGTTTCTAAATAAACAAAAAAAAAAATACTTACGTTTATTTATAAGATGGATTTAATTGATAAATATTTTTTTTATACAATTTTCCAATTTTCTTTTGAAAAGAAGGAATCTTTATATTTATATTCACCTTGCATTAACAAATTTGAAAATGGCGCCAAAAAATAGGATTAACAGTATACTGGACTGCGTTCCGTTTTAAAAAGTCACCAGTATAACTAGCTATATACTAAATTGACGTCATATTGTTCAGTGGTCGCAGTGTATATCGGAACATACCCTTATTGCATAGTGCAGAAAAATTATTGACATAGTACGTAGCGGCTTTGCTATTTGTAAGTAGATCAGCGATACGGTTGTTAAGCAACTTTAGGAAAGCTCGGTCATAGGATGGGTATCCAAAAAAATATTATCTCGAACTCCCCCGTACTTTGGAAGACACGTTAAGCCATTGATCCCGGCTGCATCTGCAGTCGTTGATACCCACTTGGCCCACGTGTTGAGTCATGGCCCAGTCTCCCTATTCGATTCTATTCTATCCATAGAAGATCCTAAACTAAGAGTAGCTCTTAAAATATATTAGGATTTCTTGTAGTTTAGAAATTCTCTAACAAAGACGGTACTACAACATCCAAACAATATAGAAAATTTTATTTTCTACAATGACTTGAACGAGACTCGAATCTGGGATCTCAGAGACTGTGACACACTCTTCCCCCCGTCTCGTTTTGAATGAAAGTTTAAGGGAATAACCCTTAAACCAACTTACTTTTACAATAACAAATGTTAAAATACCGGTTAAGCAAATAATAATTAGTTATCATTTGGCTATGGTTGGATGACGTCATAACATAACTTTAACTGTAAACTATAATCGCACAAGTTTCGCTGTTTAAAGTTATTGTTTTATGCTAAGAAAGTGGATGGTGCAACCATAGCATTCTATAGCCAATCTTGAAGTCAGCTTAACAGATATTGTTAAATTTGACATATGTGCAATCGAGACCAACTGTAACGATGTATGGGTGTGGTGGTGGTATAAGTCCCGTAAATTGCTAATGCGCTGGAACCTTATCTAAATACCATCCGCGTGACGTCATTTGAAAACAGAAAGTATAGATACCACAAAACGCAAGAGATAAATTATTTATTAATAATAAAACCCCGCGTCTATTCGTGCCTCTATAGGTCCCATGATGGCGATGCCGAAACTGACCGACTCATTGAGCACGTCCAAATGGCTGCAGACTCTGTGCAGCAGCAGATTCCACTCGCAGAGATCGTGATACTGAGCGATTTTAACGCTCATCATACCGTAATGGCTTGGTTCTAGCAAGACCGATCACGCGGGGAGATCTGTTCACGCCTTCGCTCTTGCACAGGACTTGACACAACTGGTCACTACGCCTACGCGAATCCCAGATGTCGAGAGTCATGAACCTTCACGGTTGGATCTTTTGTTGACCTCCCATCCCGATGGCTACTTCATATCTGTTGACGCTCCACTTGGCTCCTCGGACCACTGCCTTATTAGGAGTACAGTGCCACTCACGTGCTTGCAACGACCACGTGTTGCACGTAGTCGCCGTGTGTGGACATTACAAGTCGGACAGACTGGGATGGGTTGCGGTCCTTTTTTGCATCCTACCCTTGGAAACGTATCTGCTTTGCGCCGGATGATCCCAACAACGCCGCCGAGTCTGTTGCTGATGTGGTGCTTCAGGGTATGGAAACTTTCATTCCATCCTCGGTTGTCCCTATTGGTGGCAGATTCAGACCTTGGTTTGGTCAGTCCTCGAGAAAGGCTTCTCGTCGAAAGCGGGAATCATACCAAGCCTGGGCAAATGCGGTATGGTCGCGGGATGAAAATACCAGCGCCCTGAAAAAGCAATACAACTTTGCCTCCAGACATTTCAAAAGAGACATTGCAAGAGCGAAAGCGAAGCACATCAGTAGAATTGGCGAGAAGCTTGAACGTCTTCCTTCGGGGACGCGTGCTTTCTGGTCTCTTGCCAAATATATTCAAGGTAATTTCTGCACGCCTTCATTTCCACCCTCGCACAAAGACAACTCCTCATTGGCCTATGATGCAAAAGAGAAGGCCGATCTCCTGGGTAACTTCTTTGCATCCAACTCGACTTTGGATGACCGGGGGCTGAAACCGCCCACCATTCCGCGGTGCAATAGCTCTATGCCAGATATCCGGTTTCACCAAAGCTCAGTGCGTCTAGCACTACTCTCCCTCGATATCCACAAGTCGAGTGGGCCCGATGGTATCCCCTCTATTGTGCTAAGGACATGCGCTCCAGAGTTGGCACCGGTCTTAACGCGCCTATTCCGGCTCTCTTACTCATCTGGCGTCGTCCCAACCTCATGGAAGACTGCTTTAGTGCATCCGATCCCAAAAAAAGGTGACCGCTCGAACCCGTCCAACTACAGGCCGATCGCTATAACCCCTTTGCTTTCAAAGATAATGGAGTCCATTATCAACCGCCAGCTCCTTCGGTACCTAGAGGATCGCCAGTTGCTTAGTGACCAACAATACGGATTTCGTAGTGGTCGCTCTGCTGGCGATCTTCTAGTTTACTTGACACATAACTGGGCTAAGGCAATTGAAACAAAGGGGGAGGCCCTGGCAGTAAGTTTGGACATAGCGAAAGCCTTCGATCGGGTGTGGCACAAAGCTCTTCTATCAAAACTTCCCTCGTATGGGCTTCCCGAGAAATTATGTGCATGGGTCACTAGTTTTTTGGCAGAGAGAAGCATTAAGGTTTTAATCGACGGTGAATGCTCCGACCTACTGTCTATAAATGCTGGTGTTCCCCAAGGATGTGTGCTATCACCTACACTTTTTCTTCTGCATATTAATGACATGCTGCAAATTAGCGGTATTCATTGTTATGCAGATGACAGCAGAAGGACTCCACTATAACGGTCGTGCTAATATTTCTCGGGAAAGCGTCATTGAGAGCCGGAATCAACTTGTGTCTGATATTGAATCTTCGTTAGAGGAAGTCTCTAACTGGGGTCGACTTAATTTGGTCCACTTCAACCCTACTAAGACACAGGTTTGCGCGTTCACCGCCAAAAAAGCCCCATTTGTCGTATCACCTCGCTTTCAAAACATTCTCCTAACTGCCTCAGCCAATATTGAGATTCTCGGTGTCGACATATCGAGCGAGGTCCAGTTCCGTGGTCACTTAGAGGATAAGCTAAATTAGCATCTAAGAAGCTTGGTGTGCTTAATAGATCGAGGCAGTATTTCACTCCGGCGCATCGCCTGCAGCTTTACAAGGCGCAAGTTCGGCCCCATATGGAATACTGTTCTCATCTTTGGGCAGGGGCACCCCAATACCAGCTTCTCCCTCTAGACCGCATTCAGCGGAGAGCGACTCGAATCGTCGATTGCCGGGACACTTCAAGTCGGCTTGATCCACTGGCCCTGCGTAGAGATGTTGCTTCACTGTGCATCTTCTATCGCATCTATTACGGGGAATGCTCCGAGGAATTGTTCGGACTTATACCTGCCGCTACTTTCCGCCATCGTTCCACGCGACAAGAAATCCACGCCCATCATGTGGATGGTTGAAAGTCCTCAACTGTGCGTTTTTCTAGAAGTTTTCTGCCTCGCACAGCCAAACTCTGGAACAGTTTATCGCCAGCGGTATTTCCGGACCGATACGACCTTCAAACTTTCAAATTCGTCCCTCAAAGGCCGGCAGCGCGCTTGTAGCTCCTTTGGTGTTGCAGGTGTCCATGGACGGCGGTAATCACTCACCATCAGGTGATCCGTCTGCTCGACTGCCCCCTATTCCATAAAAAAAATGAATAATTCCTAATTTGTTATAATAATTTATTAACTTATAGTTTGATTATTAACTTATATAGTTTGATTATTAACTTATATAGTTTGATTATTATTAACTTATAGAAATGAGGTTTACTTATTGTGAATGTCATAATAGCAGTTCATATTTTAGTGAACTATAACAAGCAACAATAACCATCGAAAACGACAGAAACATAACAAAAATTGTGTGCGATCTCAACACAACCCAACTCAACGTGTGTACTCGTCCACCAGCGTTCGTTTGTTAACGGTACTGATTTTTGAACTCGACTACGTCGCCGAAATGACGGCCAGGCGCATTACCAATTTGCGGGGATTATAACGACCTGTGGTGGTGTGGTGGTACAGTAATAGCGTGCGCGGCCCTCGCGTTCCTGCTGACGCCCCTGTGCCAGTACGTGGCGGGGGGAGGGGGGCGGGGCGCGGTGTGCGGACGGTACTCGATGCCCGAGCTGGCGGCCGCGCTACTCGCCGCGTCGATAGTCGCCGTCTGGGTGCTCACCGGTCACTGGCTGCTGATGGACGGTCAGTACTACACATATAAGACTTCCCTATGGCCTAATGGCAATCATGACTCATTTTCTTTTTTGCCTTAAGATTATTGAAGAATATGAAGGGCTTGTTTTATCACTTCATGTTAAAGTCCCCAGTAGCCTATCAGAAACTTATCTGCCAGATAGATAGCAAATTTTGGTTTGGTCTCGGATAGAACTATTGGATGGATAATATCAGTGAGTTTCAATTGTCAGATAGTTTTATATGTTAAATAACTATCTGGAACTTTATCAGCAAGTGGTGAAACAGTATTTTTTCTTGTTGTAGTAATTGAATTAAATCTTTGTACATTTTCTTCATAGTTGTGACGTAGTGAGCTCTCCTCACTCTTTTTAATGGCTTATTATCTAAGCTATGTCTTGTTAAATTGAAGCAAAAAAAGTACGTATCTTACTTTTTTTTAAATTGAATTTTTTTAATAAGAATCGTCTAATTTCAAAATCTTTTTCAATCCCTTTCAAAGCTATAGTGATTGTGGTAGTTATTTATAGAATAATGTAACATTTAAAGTCGCAATCGCTTTCAGAACGAATGCCTGTCAAACCCTAACGCTACCTAGGAACAAAGCTAGGAAACTAACGAATATCGCTAGCTTGACTGTTGAACTCGCTTCCAGCATAACAAATAATGAGATATATACTTAATTGTAGAGATTTGCAATAATCGTTAAAATAATCGCTTAGAGTTAGTGACCTCTTATGTAATGATATTATTTTATTGGTATTAAATTGATTCAATGATTTTGGTTTACTTTTATACCAATGTTGCTGATCTTTGTATCTATTTTAGGGACTAAACATTTTAGATTTTGGGAGGTCTCTGTATAACTACACTTGAATCCATCATAACTAAAAGTATTCTTTAAAATAATTCTACTTGCTTTTGAGTTATGCTAACATAAATAAACGAAAAAAAGAACAATCTTTTTTTCTTTGTTACTTTATTATTAATAAGTATGGATTACGTTCTTTTTTTGACTTTGGTAATAGAACGTATTACTGTAACTTTCTGACGCTAGATTGCAGCACAGTAGTAACAAACAGTTTTTTTTTTGTAGCCGTCTAACGTCGTTCATATTGTACTAAGCAAAGAATAAAGGAATAGTAAATTAGTAAGCATAGAAAGAATTTAATATAAATTTTTACACTAGAAAGAGTGTAATTTTTGAAAATGTTCGAAAAAGTTTGTATACTACGTGCGCTAGTGCTGCCATCTATGCTGAGCGTGGCGTAATATTTCTTATTGGCTAATGATGATCAATCTATGATACGTTGCAGCGATGGGCATGGGGTTATGTGTGACGTTTATCGCTCTTATACGGCTGCCTTCGCTGAAGGTGTCCACGTTACTGCTCACCGGGCTCCTTCTGTACGACGTGTTCTGGGTCTTCTTCTCGTCATACATATTCACCACTAACGTAATGGTGAAGGTTGCGACCAGGTAAATAGTTTATAAGACTAATAGCTTTCCCGCGATTACACTCACGTAAATAATAGACTGTAGTACCTGCATATTAGGTAGCCTCCAGTAGATGAAAGAATCTTTAAAACAGGTGTTGCCAATTTTAAAAATTCTTTAAAACTAGTGGTAGTTTCGAAGCCTATTTAATGCATACAAACAATTCAATATTTTCTCTTTATAAGCGGCCAAATGCCAGTGGGATTCGTGCACGAACGGTTCTGTACCTAAAACGAGCAATAAAGATCACGTTTATTGTAGTGGATAAATATTTATTTTATCCTGTTTTTAATATTGTTTGTTATAGCGGCAACAGAAATACATTACTTGTTAAGATTTCAACTGTCTCAATATCACGGTTATTGAGATACAGCCTAGTAGCTACAAAAAATATGTTTCTTTTATGGGAGCTTTATTAAATATTTATTATTTTATTCTGATGAAATACATCATCGGTGAAAATTTTGACTGTATAACCTTCACGCTTCATTAGATATAGCCTGGTGACAGAAAGACAGACAGCGAAATCTTAGTACTAGAGTTCCCGTTTTACCCTTTGGGTACGGAACCCTAAAAATAAACAACAAAAATATCTTTCCTTCGCTTCATATCCTGTCGACTATGGTAAACGAGCCGTATAAATAGTGTAGTATAATATTTTTGTTATATTTTTCAATACAGACCGGCCGAGAATCCTATGAACGTGGTCGCTCGTCGGTTACAGTTGGGCGGCGCTATGCGTGATGCGCCCAAACTGTCTCTGCCCGCCAAACTAGTGTTCCCATCTATGCATCACCAGGGACATTTCTCTATGCTCGGTGAGTTACTATGCGAACCTAATAAGTAGTACTGTCAGCCATCTTGACTCGCATTGTGCTTCATATTAGGTTGTACGATTTGCAAAAAAGGTACGAAAATGTTTATTTTTATAAATAAACGCATTTATAATTGAACCTGAGTCTAGGCCTGCTTTAATGTTGCGAAAAAGATCAACTTCATATTAAGTAATAAAGAAAAGACCAAGAGACCAATTTTCAATGTCCTAACGATGGCTAATTTCAGATTTATTCTATTGCTGTTAGTTTTGATTATATCAGGTTTTTGCAACATTTGAACGTTTTTTGTTAACTATTGAGTTTTTCTTACGATAAAACTTACTATTAAGATAAAATTTATTATAGTATATTTTTTTTATAAAATATATTAACAAGTTTTTTGAACACGATAGTGTCACTGCACAAAGGTCATTCTAGCCTGTTCGGTTCGTATGAGATCGTCTAACTTGTATTTACTAAAAAATATAGACATTTTGAGATATACATTATTTATTTATTTTGATTCTAAGAATAATATCGAAGAACAGCAATATTTGCCTTATTGTTGCTGTGTCCTGACAGGCCTTCACTTGTACTTTATTTACATAATAACAACCTATACAATATGGTAGTTTCGGTAGTGAAAAATAAGTCTTCAAATTGCACGATTATTATCTTAATATAGAAAGGTCGTGATTTTTGTCTGTGTCACGTGACTTGAAACACGACCGGTCATTGTGTCACGGCACTGTGGCGACAGCCGTCAGATTAGTCTTATAGATATGCCTATTCATTATAAATCAAATTCCTAGATGGCGCTGTTCTTAGGTTATTTATGTCTTTTTATTTCGTAATCGATCGTTACATATCATTGTCTTGTTTTATTGACATATTTAATCTTCTACTCTACGCATCTGTTTTGTGTACATATCAGAATGACGTCATGGTATAAAAAAGTTAAAATTGTGATTTAATTTTAAAGCAAGAAAACGTGTTTATAGTTAATATGTTTTATGGCTTTTTTAATTAAAATAAACAGTTACCAGTATTATTTCAATCAGAGTAAAATACCCAATTACCTGTGACATACAAAATAAATTGATTTGGAACTCTGCTGAATTTTTCACTAGGTCTCGGAGACATTGTGATGCCGGGGTTACTGCTCTGCTTCGTGCTTCGCTACGACGCGTACAAGAAGGCCACACTTGTTTGTCAGATGGGCCAAGTGCCTGGACCTAGGTCTATGGTAAGTTCTTCACTACACATACGTAAATTATAGAATCATTGGCGTTTATTATATAAGTAACAAAATGTAAAATATATTTTATTGGCTTTATTATATTTTACTATCTTTAAGAATATGCTGATTTACTTAAAAAGTAGCTCGGTCGCATAGTGGATAAGCGCCGCGGCCCGCGATTGTTGTCTTTAAGCAACTTTCGCAAGGGTCGGTTACGGGATGGGTGACCAAAAAAATTTGATCTCGAGCTTCTCCATGTTTCGGAAGGCACGTTAAGCCGGTTGGTCCTAGCTACATTTGTAGTCGTTAATACCCGCCAATCCGCATTGGGCCAGCGTGGAGGGTAATGGCCCATGCTCCTTAACCATCCATAAAGAAGGCCTGAGCCCCTGCAGTGGGAACGAAATAAAGGGCTAATGATGATGATGAAGTAAATGCCGTGCGCTGAGATCCTTTATACTTTAGGGGGTGGTGGCGCCACTGTGTCATGCTAAACATCAAGTCCGTATTTTAAAATTCTTAATAATTCATATTTATATTGTATTGTATTTATATACAGTGCGATCTTTCTGCAGTGAACAATGAAATACAGAGCTGCAAGTGTTATCTGTGAAAACTGTTGTGTGTATTCGAAATTTTGGTGTTCTGTTATAATTATGATCATCTTTTTCTTATAATTGAAATGCGTTATAGAAGTGAACAAATGAAAGTTTAACGCAGTGTTGTAAAATAATTAAGCAGATTTGTCAAAAATAAACTGATAATAAGTGAAATTAGATTTTTTTTTTTGCAATTTGTCCACAAATAATGCCGTTGACATTTTCAAATGTAAACATACACCAGCTGATCAGTAATTAATATACTGACACATTTATGAGCCACTCAATTTAGCACGGCTGACTACTATTGTTTATGCTCTTAAAAAAAAGCATATAGGAACAATTACTTAAACATGGAGAAAAATTGCAAGAAATGCGTTTTAATTATAAGGAATCGTGCGTTTTTAACCTGTTCTACCTGCTCATATGATTATTATGTAGAATGTGTAAATGTCTCCGACAAAAGCTTTTATTTAATGACGAAAGAACATAAGGCTAACTGGAAATGTGAGTAATCTTGGTCTAAAACTAATGAACAATTTAATATAAATATATCAACACAAAACTCGTTTGTATCACTATCAGATGATGACTACACAGATATATTTTCAACATCACATAACAGTCAAACTACTAGTAACACCGACTGCAACCTAACAAAAACAAGTTATATTGAACAAAAGATGCTAAAATTGCATGATTGAGAACACTAAATTGCAAACACTTTTATCTACCCAAAACTCACACCACTCAACTAAAGTCTGTAGTTCTAGCTCAAAAAATATCACAATAAGAAGAAACAGGAAAAACCTTGCTAAGAAGACTATGCTTTCCGCTGTGTGGAGAAAATAAAGTTGACAATAATCTATTACCTTGCGTCACGCCATCTAGTCATTAGGTTAAGAAACTTTTAAGCTATATTATGTTCTTCTGTATCTATAAAGCTTATACAATTTTAATTTAATTCTAAGCGATGATTGTGTTTACACGTACTTAATCACTTAAATTAAGTGATCTTATGAACTTAATACGTGTAAATCATTATCAGGGTTCCCGTCTGACTTACTTCCACTGTTCGTTGCTCGGTTACTTCCTCGGTCTGCTGACGGCCACCGTGTCTGCGGAGGTATTCAAGGCGGCTCAGCCCGCGCTATTATACCTGGTGCCGTTCACGCTGCTGCCACTACTCACCATGGCATACGTCAAGGTAATATGATGCACGAGGAGCTATAGAAAAAACATTTTTGGTTAAAATTTTTGTTATGAAATGAATGTATTTTATTGTTGCAAAATTAATTTGCTTTTTATATTCTGTAGATTACAAAATTCGAAACGCGCGTGGCCATGACTGAGCATCGTGTGACGTCACATTTCAAGACATAACGTCGACGTCTTTGTTGCGAGTGCAACCGGGACTCGTGTTTATTGAAATGTGACGTCACGGTTCGAAATTTCATGTCGCTTATCGATTTCACAGTGCAACTTAAATTGATGAACTATTTAATAAAAATTTTTGGAAAAGATAAATTTGATAGTAATTTAATATATGAAATTTCTAATATACTTTTTACTTTACAGTCAAGTATCTAATTTTAATCGACTTTATGTTGTAATACCACCGGTTTTTCATTCAAAATAAAAACTATTAAAATTAACTATCACTTGAGAGGCAATGAAAATTTTAATATGCTTAAGTATATCATGTGTTTACGTATTTCTTAAATATACAATCATAACTAATCTCTTCAGGGTGATCTGAGGAGGATGTGGAGTGAACCATTTATAGCGCCACCTAACGGCAAAGGCGGCGCAGACTTCGACGTGTGACGTCCCCATTGTGTAGCGACACAAACGTTTTGTTACAAAAGTATAAGCTCTAAGGATATACTAGATACTCAATAAAATATTGAGTATTAAGCTCTTACGGTTGAACTCACTCCACTTCAGTGAAAATTTGCGTGTATTATTGATTTCTTATTGAATTTTATTGAAATATAATATACCAGATATATAAAACATATTGAAATCTTTTATAATAATGACGTATTTTTTTACTGAAATGGACTTTTAATTTATGCAAGCCTCGGTCCAGACAAAAAACGATCAAAGTGTTTTTCTTTATGAATTGATCGTGAATCTTTGAGAATAAGTCGAACGAGTGTTGCATGGTTGTTTATGATTCTATAAACATGTGTTTGAATAAAAGCAAATCAGATTGTTCGCAGTCAAGACTAGAAAAATTTTAGATGCAATGAATATTGATTTTAATTCGTAACAAGATAAGGTTCAATGAATTAAGTTGTCAAGTGGTTCTCAAATTTTTAAATGGATACTCACTTATTTACTCTTCAAACTGGAATCCAGAAAGCCTTAGACTCTCGTATGCGTCTAATGACAAATTTAAATTCTATTTCCTAAGCAACAATGATTCGATTCTTCTGAATCTTGAAAACACACCGTCGCCAATCGGACTAGATCTCAATACGGAATTAGAGAAAATTGATCAAATCATAATGCCTGTGTAATATTAATACACCATTATTCTTTAAATTTAAAACTTAACTACCGAACAAATAAAGCTTATTTTGTTATAACAATGTAATCTGTAGACACGTAAAAAGCGCTGTTACTGCAAAATACAAAACCGATCCAACAGATATTAGTTATAACCAAATTCCATTAAAACCTTTTCAAAAGTAGTTAATTATTTTCTCGAATATTCTTTCCTAATAACTTTATTTAGACAATCAGTAACCCAAAATAAGTACACTTGCCAATGATTATTTCGTTTTTATGTTTAGAACATATGTAGTTTATCAGGGTAGGATCATTAAAGATATAATATATGTTTCCAATTCATGCGTGTTTCTACTTCTGGAGATTATAGTTCATATAAAATCCGTATTTATATTTCGAGTCTCTGGTTTGGGATATATGAATTGTATTTATTATATGAATTCTGAATTATATTAATTCAGCTCAATTTTGTCTTTATTATGTTGAAATTTTGTATGCAGATGTGCACGTGATTACAGTAAGTTGTTTAATATTATACAGTAAACGACATTTTAAATTTTTTCGGAATCTTCTTAGGTCCATAGAAACAGGGTTACACAACCTTTCTTGCTTTATATGAGGTTTACTTTGTAGTTTATGGGCTTGTTATATGCTCTTGAAGTATCCTAGATCAAAATGATAAATCAAGGGTTTATAAAGTTTATTATTTAATTCTTTAAATGTTTCTATTGTCTAAGCGCGATTCGTTAGCTGTACTATGACGTCACATGTATCGAGTGGAATGTCGAATCGCGCGCTTATTTCAAATTTAATCTATTTGAATGTACTTGGCGTACCTCTATATTTTTTCATTTTCAATAATAAGACATAAGATTCAAAATAAGTGAACGTTCCTCGTTTGTTGATTCTGTGGTTTCGCTTATTTCACTGTCGTCGGTCGGTAGTTGAGATCGGCAGTGTCTAATTGTTTTCAAATATTTTTCCCAAGAAAAGACATGTTTGTACAAATTAATTTTTGTCACATATATTCCTTAAATCGCAATAGCAAATATTAAATTGCCATACTGGCGCGCACATATGCATTACTAACCCCCCCCCCCCCCGCGTGACATCGCTAGCGCTAGTGTAGCTTCCCGTAGGTTAAATAAATTTTACCCCCTACAAACTTGGCCTCGATAGAAGGCGAACTAGCGAATTAAACGTGCGTGGATATTAAAAATATAAACAGAATTGTTTGCCAATTTAGTTCGGATATTAACTAAAGATAATGTAGTCATCAAAGATAAAGCGAAAAGACCTGGATGCGTTTAATTAGTCCCTAAGGAAGGGAATCGCATATTACATTTTGGCTGTAAATCTAAATGATACAAATATTTTTTCACATGCAAATTGTTATTTACTTAAACAATGGGTGTAATATTGTCTATTTTCATCAACTGTTATTTTATTTTATTTATAATTTATCTCTACACAATGCAACTTTTAATTAGTTTCTCAAAAAGACAATCATCACTTGCAATTTTCATTAATTCCTAAAAGCTGTCTAGGTATTAAAACAGTATTTAAAAAAAATAGTAATAAACACTACTTTGGTTAAATCTTGTGGTTTCCTAGAAAATTGTGATCACATCTAATGTCATAAATTAATTTAAACATAGTGCAAAAACACTTAACGCAACCATGACACGGACAAACCTGTGCACAAATATGATTGAACATTAAAGAATAGGACAATTTAGCCTGGTACAAATACGAGAAAAACAGAAATAATTCGATATAAGCCTGGAATATTTTTAATAAAGTTTGTGAGCCAATTACAAGAGACTATATTTAAGAATCTATCTCATTTTAGCTACGGAAGGTATAAAAAAATCATCAAGTCAAAAAACCTTCATTTCCTTCACCAAAATTACTAACTCGACTTTTTTCGCAAATTTGGGTTTTACTTATCATAGCAACAAAGAAAATTACTGAAATCAAACAAAAAAAAAATTCAGGAAATAATGATTTTTATTAAACTTTATTTTTTACTTTTTTTTTCGTAGTAGTAGTAGTTTAATATGAAAAAACTTTTATTTAAAGTATTTTTGAGTGGATTTTAATGATATATGTGTTTAACTCAAAAGTCTGCTGCATATATTTCGTGTTATATTTTTGCTTCACAAATTATAAGGGTATGCAATATTCCTATGGAAATTTTCATTGGATTTAAAACGAAATATACTTAACTCAATACATATAGTTATATCGATTGAAGTCGTTTTTTGTTGTTAATATTATAGAACTTTACAAATATTTTTTAAACATTTATTGTCCGTGATTTTATAAAAATATGAGTTTCCAAATATAATATTAGGAAAATGTATGTATTTAATGGATTTAACAGCGTGAAAGTACGTAGAAGTCACTTTATATGTATTTTGCTTATCATGCCATTGAGAAATTAAAGGAATTTAATTTTTTTTTCACTAATAATCCGAAAGAAAATGTGGATAGATTAATTCAAAAAGGAAATATATGATACCCTCATAATAAAAAAAAAACAGCTCTTATGTTTTAATGTTTGATCTCCATACTGAAAGTTGGTATTTGTGTCAGGCTAATTAGCATACAAGATAGACTTTGATTAATAAATACTCATTCGAGCATTTTCTGCTTTTGTATTTTTTATATTTGGATGCAACTATGGACAAGTGGATGGTGCCAAATATGTGCACGTGATTCAAATATCAATTTAAATAGGCATCTTCATTAAAGTGCAGAACTCTGTATGTACACAGTGATTATTGTGACACCATCTTCAGGCAATGAGTGAATGAACGATTGTAATAAATTATGGTAGTAGGTTAAATCTTTCAGTGAATCTCATTTGAGTTTATGAACTTTACTATTTTTATACATAACTGAAGCGTAAATATGTATGATTTATCTTTAATGATAATTATGTGATTTGAATTAATGCATGATTTTGTTCAATATAGTAAATACTTTGTTGTCACTGCCTTAGACTGATGTTTTCAATGAAGATTTTTTCTATAATATGTTGAATGGAGTATTATAGCATAGATAAATAATATTAGTATATAAGATGATAATTAACTATTGTTGTTATTATTATAACAACGAGATTGTTGTTGTAAATTATTTTAATAAATTTAATGAAGTGTTTCATTGGTGTGCTGGGATCACACTTATAACTTTTTTGGCTTATGACAATTGTGTGTTAATATAAATTAAGGAGTGGGAAATGTTAAATATTGATTTACCATATTTTAGTAATTGTTTAAATTCAAATAATATAAAATGTTTATTGTCATTACTTATTATATTAAAAACTATATTGCAATGAACTAAATAAGTGTGTTCCTAGCATTAAAAATAATTATGCTTGGTAAGTGTGATTTAATTTTTTTTTTGATATAACTTTTATAACAATTTTAGATTTTATTTATACTAATATTTTTTACTGAATATTTTGTTTATAGAGCCCGTGTGAGTTATGAACAAAATGATATGCAGTATTTCTAAATGCAAGTGATATTACTTTATTGAGGCTTAATTTTGACATAAAAATGATTGTTTTCTTTTTCTATTAGACTGTGGCTTCTACATGATATTCTATCATGATTGTAATTTTTGGTGGCAAGCATTTAATGTTGTATATCTTTAACCATATGAAAGTGTGAACTAAAGAAAGTTTTTCTAAATCATTTAGATATTTAACAGTCCCTTATGTACCAGTGTCTCCATATGTTGTAAATACGTAAGAGTAATATAGTCTATAAGATTCTATGTTAAATTACATCACTCATTTTGAAAGAATGTAAATATTGCCCACAGTAAACTTGATCATCACCTATATACAAAATATAAAAATGCATTTAATATTTTTATATAATGTATATGTGAAATAACATTTTAACAATACTTAATAAAAATATTAGATGAAACTGATATTGTAATTTCATTTAAAAATCTTTTTTAATTACTTTAAATTATATAAAGATTTTTTTCATAGGCTAAACACATTTTATCCCCATCAACTGCTCTGAAAGAAGCTAATGAATTATACGGACCTTCACACCAGTATACTGGTGTATTCACTGTCATAGTAGGCCTTACATAAAATATGGTGTCAACATACCAACAGATGTCAGCTATAACAAATTAAATCATTACGATATTAATAACATATTTTTATATATGGTCTAGGGCTGCTAAGCCTACAAATCCGCCTGTTTCATATCATTCATAGGCTAAGAGTGTAAATGCAAACATACCATGAAACAAAAAGGAACTTATTACATTTTGATTCTTCTCAGATTGATCTGCTCGCTTCGGTCGTATTGTTGATCGAAGGCTCGTACTCATCTTAACATGAATTCATAAAACATTGTAACTTTTGACATCCTGCAAATAGTCACCACTCTGGGGTATCATGAAGTGGATTAAATTACGCAAGTGATCTCAATAACCACAAAGTATTTTTCTCTATTTTAATGAAATGGTCTCTAACCAATGTTACTTTATTATCATATATTTTATTTATTTAAATTCTCTTTTCGCATTTATAAATCTTCTCATGTGTTTTTTCTCCAAACATACTAACCCGCTGTTAATTTCCATTGTTGGTATTCCTTCAGCCTAGGGTCGCCTCATAGAGATTACCACTTTAGTAATAAGTCCGCCTTTTGTGTTGCTGTATCTAGTTTAATGTACTTTTTAGATTTATTTTATAGTGCAATAAAGAATATTCATATCATATGTATATGAAATGAAATGAAAATATTTTTATTCAAGTAAGCTTGTTTCAAGCACTTTTGAATCGTATAACTTTTTTCCCCGGCCAACTTGTTCAGGACGTATTTTAGCTGACAAGAACAAGCGAAAGAAACTATCCAGCTCTTTACCATATTAGTACGTATTATAACAATAATAAATACAATTAATTCCATGCATTGCGGTCCTTAAAATAATCATCTACTTTTTAATTGCCTTTACTTATAAGTATGCTCTTTACATGAATTTTAAATTTATTTACGGGTAGGTAAATTACATTTTGTGGGAATTGATTGAACATAGCAATACCCAGAAATAATCCTCTGTTTTTTTTTTGAAGTCTGAGGCTTGAAAAGATATGTTTATTTTTATTTCTTGTGTTAAGATTATGAACACAATTTTTTTATCAAGGAAACGTAATGTTTTCTGGGGTACATAATATTTTCCGAATATAATATTTTCCAAAGTCCGAAGAGAGGGCGAGGACACGATGATCCTTAAATCCGGTAACCTGCTCTATTACCGGGAGGGCGAAGATCTGTCCCAAGGTGGTGTCGGGTTTATCGTCCACAAGTCTCTCGTGAACAATATTGTACAGATCGGAAGTGTATCGAATAGGGTGGCGTACCTTATACTCAGAATCACCGAACGGTATTCGCTGAAGGTCATACAGGTTTACGCCCCGACCTCGACGCACCCCGACGAGGAAGTGGAAGCCACATATGAGGACATTTCCCGGGCAATACATGGTTCCACGACCCACTACACTGTTGTCATAGGAGACTTCAACGTAAGGCTAGGCAAGCGTGGCGATGAGGAGTTGAAGGTGGGGCAATTTGGATCTGGAATCCGGAATCACCGTGGTCAAATGCTAGCCGACTACATGGAGAGGGAAGGACTATATGATGAACTCCTTCTTCAAAAAACGGTTGCATCGAAAGTGGACCTGGAAGAGTCCGGATGGTGTGACAAAAAGCGA